TTTTTTTTTTTTTTTCCTTTGGGTTAATGTCCGTGAGGGCTACGGTGCCGGTGGTGCACGAGCCGCCCCCTGCCCGGGCGGCCTCGCGCGCAGGTAGCGCCGGAGGAACTTGGCAGGGCCGGGGGCAGCGGCGGGTCCCCCGCGGCCGCACACGCGAGGGGGAGGGCGGCACGGGGGCCGCGGCGGCGGCGGAGCCATGGCCGGTGTCTGTCACCGTAGCGCCCACATGGCCCGAGCGCCCGGGGCGGGGGGGGTGCGGCGCGGCCGGGCACCCGCCTCCCTCGAGCCACGCTCGGCTTGTGCTTGCGGTAAAAAAAGAAATGCTTGGAAAGCATAGAAACCGCTCAGCGGGCAAATTAAGCAGAAGTTGCCTTTATTTATTTATTTATTTATTTTTTCCCTTGGGCGGGAGCCGCAGGCGGCCCAGGCGGGAGCTCGGTGCCCGCGGGCGGCCGCAGGGCTGGGCTCGGTGTCGCGGCGCCTTTGGGTGCCCGTTGCCCTCGGAGCGAGCGCGCGGCGCCCGCCGCCGGGCAGCGAGTGGCGGGCACCGCGGCGCGCACGTGCTGGCCGCGGCGGGAGCGGCGGCGCCGGCAGGTGCACGGCGGCCCCGCGCCCGCCAGAGGCGAGCGGGGAAAGTTTGGCGGGCGGCGGGGGGCGCCCGGCCGGGCCGGGCACGAGCGGCGCGTGGCCGCGCCTCCCCGCCCGGAGGCGAGCGCGGGAGCGGAGCGCCGCGGGGCCCCGGCGGGAGAGCCCCGCGGCCGCCCCAGCCGCCCGCTCTGCCTGGCGCTTGGCGAGCGCCGGGCGTTATCTCTGTGTAACGGACCCCCGCGGTCGCTGCCCTTGCCCGCAGGAGACACAGCGGCCGCGCGGCGGCCCGAGCGGGGCGGCTGCCCCGCGGGGCTCCCGCGAGTGCGTGGCGGGCGGCGGCGCCGGTGCCTGTTTGTTTGCACCGCCTGCTGGCTGCCTTCCTGTGACAAGAGGTGATACACAGTTTCCAGAACTGTCTGGGAGTGGGAGGAGAGACAGACACAGAAAACGAGCCCAAGTCTCCGCGCTCCCGCTGCTGCTCAATCCGCGAAACCGCCGTGCCGCGTTTCCCTGCCCATCCGCCTCCCCYCGCGCCGTCGCAGCGCGGCCATGGGGAGGGTGGAGCGGCCGCCCTGGGCAGTGACAGCGGTTTGGGCGAGAGGCGGCGGCCGAGCCGCCGGGGGCACCAACTTTGATTCGCGGCGTGGGCGCGGCGGGGAGGAGCGGCCGCGGGGCCGGGCAGCGTCTCTGCAGAGAGCTCCGCTGCCCGGGAAGGGGCCAGCCCCGCGGCGCCGCCGTCTCCCTCTTGCTGCCGCGGGCCGTGGCTCGGCGGCGTGAGGAGCCCTGGGCGCGGGCGCTAACGGCCGGCGCTAACGGCCGGCGCTAACGGCTGCCGCCCTGGGCGGGAGGCGCCGCGTTGGAGGTGGCGGCTCCGCGCCGCGAGGTGCCCCGGCGCGGCGGCGGCTTCGTCCCAGCGGCCGTCGCGGATCCCCGCGGGCCCCCAGGGGAGCCYGCCCGCCGGCACCTGCCCGGGCCCCGGGGACACGGTCCCTTCGCGGAGCTGCTGCGTAGGACCAGACACCGCGATGCCGCCGAGCTGCGCCGCTTGCTCGGCGCTTTGATTTCGGTGCAAGAGGAGGCTTTTATGCTTGCCTTATTATTATTTTTTAATAGAAAGGTTTAACTGTGATTTGGAATAATTTCCTTTTTAAGCAGACGCTGCCTTTTAAATAAGTCAGAGGCTGCCCACGCTTGCAAACCAAAAGCCTTCATAAAAGTTATGACAAAATGTGCCTGTTTTGATTCTATTTCTAGAGGTTTCTCACACGCAGTGGGATATTGTTGAAACACGAGGGTTGTACATTCTAGTGAGAGGCTTTTCCTGCTGCCTGCAGATACCCCTCTCCCCGCTTTAGAGCGATGCTTGATACATATGTTTAAAATAAAATAATGCTAATAAAGAAAACCCTTTACCCTCACAGCTGCAGGTTTCCCTTCCAGCTTCTCTGATTTCATTCCTAGTTTGCAAAATACAATAAAAAAACACTTTCTGACTATTTGCTCAAATGTTTTCCCCATGTKGGTAGTGCTGCATCTTCCTGCTCCCGTTTTCTGTGGGATTGACGGTGCTGGCAGCTTGTTTTTCTACATGGGAGAGGTCAAGTGTAACGGGAGCAGGGGTGGCTAAATTAATTTGCAGAGGCCCATTTGTCATCGCTCGGTGCTTTAGGCTGTCGTGCCGGCACRGCCGGCGAGTAAAGGGCTGGGAGTAAAGGGCGCAGGTGCCCGCGGGCGCCGTGCAGCGCGGCTGCCAACCCTCTCCTTGGGCACAGGGCTCCCAAGTCCAGGGCGCGCTGGGGAACGCTCTCRCCCTCGCAACGCGCTTTCCGCCTGTCCCTTCAGGAGAGTTGGAGAAGTTCTTTTGCACATTTAAGGTCTGGGTTTATTTTGATTCTGCAGTAGCTTGTCCCACAGAGTTATGTTTCATTTAAGATTAAGATATGAGCTCCGCTTCTGCTTTGGTGAGCAATCAAAACTCCAGCAGGTGATAAAGCAGAAAGTAGAAACTTCCAGGTGGGTTTTAACAGTATAACTTATTTTTGAGATAATTCTGTCTTTTTCCTCTGGGCATAGAAGAAAAAAATCCGTGTTTTCTTGCCATCTCTGGTGTCAGCTGGTGAAGACTGACGTGGTGTGATAAACACACTCCTTAGGAGAGTATAGTAGTAGAAGCCAAATGTTTTAATCTACTATCCAGTTGATTAAGATTATGTTATACTTTCCTTCCATTTGTGCGGGAAGTGTTTTGAAGCGCTCTCTCATGTGCTGGGGATAATTAGGTCTCAGCCTTGCTACAGTTAGAGGGTTTCTTTCAGGAAAGGCCAGTTTTGCGGTTTGTCTTCAGGGTGTGCATCTGTCATAATTCTGCTTCCCTCCCATTCTGTCTCTGCAGCTGCTCGCTGCAGTTTATTACAGTGACACYCATTAACACTGTTACAGTTAATTGTCTGTCAGAGTTTGAATTATAAACTCTCCTTACCCAGAGGTTTATGCAGTCATTACAAATACGCTAATAAGAACTGTGCTGTATGAAATCTTTGACTCGAGGATGTATGGTTTTTTTTCCTAATAAAACTATTCAAAATCTGCTTCTGTGCAGGTATTGCGGTAACACAGATTTTAACATGCTGTGCATCTTTCTCTTCAACCATCTATYTACTTGAGGTCGAATTCAGTGGGAAAAAAAGTAGTATACCATGTTATTTACTRTGGAGTGCTAGCATAAGAGTGCTTTATAATGTGCTTTATATTGCACACGAGTGTATCTATGTGCACAGGCCCATTTTTATGGGGCAGTRCCTGGAGCTCTGCTCTGAGGAAGTGAAGAAGGGTCCAGGCAGTATCCCTACACATCTGGGCAGCTGCTGGTCTGCAGTGTGGGAGCGGGGAGAAGTGGTGAGAGGAACGATTTTGGCACAGGGGAACGATGTAATTCTTGTTGCTTCTTGGTTCTTTTAGTCCCGTGCAGAGCTCACAAATGCAAAGCCTGACACCAGCTATTGGTACGAGTAGTGGCTTTGCTGTCGCGTTGCAGATTCCAGCCTGCTGCATCTACCAGCAGCAGCAACATCTGTGCTCCCAACTATAGCTAGCTAGTTACGTGGAGTGAGGTATCCATTGCTGGATTCTGCAGGGATATCATAYGCAAATCCAGATCTTATTTTGGAGTCTGGCTTTGATTCTGGATTATCGTCCAGTAATTTTCTTTCTGCAGCRTTTTATAAACTTATTTTTAAAAGGGGATTACTGCTCCCTCCAAAATGCATTGAGTAGAAAGAACATTTTAGGCCTTGTGATTTTGTTCGTAAAAATGATCTGAATATTGCAAGCTCTAAAATGCAAGTCTACAGTTAAGTTTGCATGTTCAAAGCATGTCCATAACCAGTGCGCAAAGGCCAGAGCTTTACTTTCAGAGCCAGTGTGCTAAAAAGTCACGGTCTCTGTCCCATCCGACTATTTACTGCTGTGATGTGATTGTGTGGAGCACTCCTAGGTGCTTTGTCCACCCTTGGAAATGAGGTGGTGCYGCCAGCAGAGTCATGACGCTGTCTATAAAGCTGCCTTCAATTGCAGGCTGGCATTTGCCTCCGTCCAATTTCTCTCCCTCCTCCCCCTAATAAATATTGGGGCTCTCGGAAGAAATAACTGTCAACCTGCTGTGCATCAGTTGGTCTGCCTGATTTCCTAACAGATGCTTTTAACAGGAGGGAAAACAAACAAACAAACAAAATSTCCTTTCAAGGAAATGGAGCTGAAGTGTGGTAGGGAATTGGAAGGTGCCCGTGGGATGGACCCCAGGCCGTGCCCCTGCACGCAGCGCTGGAAGGGCCTGGCTGTGTCACAGCTGGAGGGGAAGGTGGAGTGGGAGGGACAATTCGCACCCAAGGGCTTYGTCAGAGGGCTGCTGTGTCACCTCCAGTGGTGGCAACTGTCGAAGTATTTGTATCGTAAGCAGCATGTGTGAGGTACCTCGGCGCGCGTCGCTGAGACATGGGGGGCATTGACGTGTGTGAGCAGCAGCCACAGGGCGGCTCACGGCCCCTGCAGCTTTGCAAGCGTTGGGCACCCTGTGGGCGAAGGCGCCTTTGGAGCGGCCGTGGGGAAACCCCGCCGCAGATCTGCTGCCGATGCAGAGCGCGTGGAGATGCCAGCCGCTTGGCTGGCTGCTCCGAGGGGTTTTCCCGTTGGCAAAGCAGGGGCTTGGGGAGCGGGGCGTGTGGGGAGCAGCAAATGTCTGTGGGCCCTGGAGGCCCAAACAGCTGTTTCGTGGTCGCACGTGAGGCAGGGGATTGGTGGCCGTGACCTGTGTGGCCTCCCCCTGCCCTGCAGACGTACGGGCTGAGCCCTGCAGCTCTTGCTTGTTTCTTGGAATCAGCCTTAAAGATCAGATTAAAGATTTGGCTCCTTTTATGTCCCATGCTTGCGTGTGAATTGGCTTTGCTTACGTGCATAACTACCTTGGCCACTTGGTCCCATTAAAGTGATTGTGGTGTAGACAGGCTGGGTGATCCTGCCTTTGCTTCTGAGCTAGGGAAATGGTCAGACTTTGTTCTCTTTCAGAATACACTTTAATGAGATTGGGGTGGATCAGATGTACTGTGTTGGCACCTGAGCACATTAAGCGTATATCAAAATAAAAGCAAGTGAGAAATACTCCCCCCCCCCCTTTTTTTTTTTTTGTGAACATTAAAACTTGAGAATTTTAAAGGAATTAAGTATTGCAGGCACTTGAATCCCTGGTTAGGAAAGAGAATGAGATAATCCATAGTACTGAGAAGAAAAGTGTGATAGCTTTCCCATTCTGCCTTTTATTTTTAGGTAGGAATGTCTCTATAGCGGTGGTAATACCACTATGGCTTGTGCTCTCTTGGAGGCGAAGAAGCTGCAGAATGTGCCCGTATGGGGTGGAACACGGAAAGGAAAGAACAAAGTGTGCACCTACCTTTAAGCTGCACCAAACCCTGACTATCTGTACCTTGCCTTTATTTTTAGTATAGGTCTTATGTGACTTAAGGTGTTTAATAGAAATTTACCATCTTTGACAGCATGCTGTGAAAATCAGAGGCACTGATGTCCTTACGAGCAGCTGCATTTCAGTCACTGGGGTTATAAGCTAGGGACAACATTAACTGTTCTAGTGTTATCTGTAAAATATGTTTTAAACCATAGGCATGAACATCTGGTGGGGACGATTTAAAATGATTTTGAATGTTGAAACATGCTGTTTCAGCACTTTTAATGATAAAACTTTTAGGGAGTTAATCTTACAAGGTTTGGGACTTAGTCTGAGCAGACAGATGCTGCTTTTCCAACAGTGATTTAGCTCCATGTAAACTCAGATTAGGTTCAAAGATGTGAGAATGAGATCTCTGGACTTCAGCTCCTCTTCACATGCATCTGTAAAAGATTTTTGCATAAGCTTTATCAAATTGGGTATTTCTTTTAATGCTAGTCTTGATGGCCCAGGCTTTTCATTGTGGCTAGCTTCAGAAACCTAACTGGGGTGGAAAAGTGTATTGCTGACCTTACCTAATTCCTGCACTCCAGGAATTCCTGCACTGCTGTACCCAGCACTCCAGGGAACTGGTTCCCAGTTTGGCTTCTCTGTCTTCCTAGCTGACTAAACTTGAATGTTTGAGTTAGAGGGTGTTAATACCATCCTGTCCATTGAACAACAACAAACAAGAAATGTTTTTTTATTATTATTTTTAAAATTTGAGAARATTTTCTTTGTTTCATGGATTTACRGAAGCATGACTAGGAGAAGATGAATTTAGAATATACTCTGAACGATGCGGAGGGCCAGGATTTTAACTTATTTCCTTGTTAGTCTYGAGTTCATGGAGCTTAGTGGATCACAGTGTGTATTTGCTGTCTTTGCTTCTGGCTGCATTATACTTTTCAGACAACATGGGAATGAATCAAGAAGTGAGGAGTGTGACCGGAGTGCGTAATTTAGATTTTGGAGATTTGTTTTTCTACCTATCCCCCTTGTTCCTGGGAGATATTTCCATTTAAGTACATGCTCTTTATATTGTTAATTTTTCCTTCAGTTACAGGAAAAATTTCTGAACAACTAGAAAAAGTACCTCCAGGAACAGGTATTTATTCCCCTGGCTTAGGCCTTGTAGCAGCTGGTGTGTTTTTCAGTTCTTGTTGTAATCCTGTTTTGGATCTGAGTGTTGTTTTTCTAAGTGGCTGTATCAAAACTTGGCTTTGAAGTGACTTCATTTATACCAAATCTGAATTCAGATTTTGAGGGTTGAGCTTGCATCTATTTATTATTATCTGAGGGTGTATCTATTTATTTATTGGCAGCATGTCTGTTTATCCTGCCTGCAAAGTTCTGGTTTACCTCAAAGCTGTTCCTTTGGAATAATTTTCTTTCTTTTTTAGCATGCTAGGGCGGTTGTCATTGATGCTTYGTTATTCCTTGGCACTGGAATGAAAGGTTGTGGCAGAGTGAACCCCTTACCTGCAGTGAGCAAATGTTTGCAACTCAGGATGGCTCAGGTGTTTCCAACATTGCCGTGTCCAGTCCCACCCTGGGAAGTCGGGCTCTGCAGGAACCCTCTTCCCCCTGCCACAGTTTTCCTGAGTAAGGTTAAAAAGGAGGAAATCCCCCAATGCCCAGGTTGTTACGACCATAGGGAGTTCACTGGAAGCATAAAATAAGAATSTTAGTTTCAGTTGCTTGTGATCTACGAGTGATAATAAAAATGAAATCCTTCAAACAAAACAAGGCTTGTTCCTTTTTACATATGTATCTTTCTAATAGCAGGTGCTGTTGTGCTTTTATAGGGAACAGGGGTAGTCTGCAGAGCTTCTCCTCCTTGCCTTGGAAAYTAGTCCTCTAAATGCTGCAGACACCGTCAGGTTTACTGCAGTTGAGCCACGTTCTCCCTCAATGCAGTTGAGGTGTTTAAATGTGAGCTGAAGGGGCCATTGAAGAGAGCTTTGCTGAAAGGTTTCTAGGAAATCCCAAGCCACATGGAAATGAAGAGGTTAGCTTTTCAGTAGTGATCTAGCAGCAAAACCAATTTGGCCCCTGATGTCCCAATCTGCACCCGCAGGCACCTGTGGGGCTCTGCTGCTAACGGAGCACCCAGCCCGGGTTGTCACCCCAGCTGATAACGTGGCGAGCGGGGACCCGGGGGATTAGATGTGCGAGCCGGAGTCCCTGTCAGTTTAGCTTAGGCCAGACATGCCTTTCTGCACTTGCCTTGTCATGTTCGTYCTGCTCTTTAGCTTCTGCTTTTTAGTGTCTTTTTACATGTAGGTGCACACTAGCAATTTTCAGCTTCTTGAAGCTTCCTGAATTTAGTTTCATCTCCAGAGAGAATACACGTGAATACCCCAGCAGCCTGTGGAGAGCTGAACACAGAAGTTTTCACCTTTGCATTGCTGCTTGCTGCACCGTAGGACTCAGAACTGCTGCAAGGCGTCAGCTTTGGCAGCTCAGGGCAGCGTCTGTGTAGCCACTTCTGGGCCTGACTCCTCCTGAGCAGCTGGTTTTAGGCAGGACAGTAGAAATGGGCCTGTAGGGAGAAGCGACTCTGGCGCTTTAGAGGCGGTGCCACCCAGACCATGTTTGGTTAATCTGGGGAAACTCGCCTGCTTTACCGCTGCCTCCTGCGTGTCCCCCGCCCAGTCAGTGGAAGACTTTTAYCTTTGATTTCATAATCTGGCACTTTGCACAGGAATAAAATTGTTCCAAGAACATATTAGCCAGAGTAAATATTTACAGAGGCAGTAAAAAAAATGTTTTTGTATTGCAAATCTAGTGTCAGAATGGGCAGGGGAAGTTAAGCGCATTTATAGCAGATACTAGGTGATTTTTTTAAGRCCTTGGAGAGCAAAACGTGCTGTTGTCCTGGGGTGAAAGGGGTGCTGGGGTTGTCACGATACCCTCCGACACTGTTTACACCTGCTCGTGTGGTGACTGCCCAATTAAGCGCTGTGGAGGTATTTGCTGTTGCTGTGTCAGACGCCGTTTCGGGCTGTTTGTTTGCCCGGCGTGCTGCAAACGCCCGCGTGCCAGCAGCAGCAGCTCGACGAGCGCCGTGCGGCGAGCGTCGTGCGGCGAGCGCCGTGTGCTAAGCGCTCTCCGCTTGCTTTGCAGGCCGCCTGCGGCTCCCCGTGGCCAGCATGAAGCGGCGCCGGCTGCCCAGCAGCAGCGAGGACTCGGAYGACAACGGCAGTAAGTGCATGCGGCTCGCGGCGGGGCGCGCGAGGCTCCTCTGTCCAGGGCATGTGCCCGACCAATGCTGCATGGGGAGGAGCCGGGTCCGAGCTCCCTTGCTCGGAGCGGGCGGGTGGATTCTGCATCCTCCTGGGGTTACTGTTCACCAAACAGTGCTAGTTAATATGACAAAACAAGAAAAAAAGTCTCTTTTTCCTCTTTAAAACTGTTTTAAGCAGTATCATTTATCCTTACAAACCAGGGACCAAATCCATGTTGGACTCATACGGTAACGCTGTCTGCAGCTCAATATTTAATGAAAGCTTGCGTTAGGATTTCAGATTTGCTTCAGTGTTGTCATTCTCTCTTGTGCAATGGAAAGGTGTGTTGCTTTAAACTTCAAAAGGAAAGATTGGCAGTGCTTAAAAGTTGCTCCTTCTGCTTGACAGTTATCTCAGTCGAGGAATAACATTCACCAATTTGCAGTGATTAAGGAATTTGAATAGACATTTATTTCTCCATTTGAACTATCTCTTTCTGTTCTGACATAGCTGACACTGAGCTGTGTGAAATGTACTTCTTGTGCTTGGATTCCAGGGATTTGATAGTCTTTCATGTGAAAAAGAAAAAAAATGGCAGTGTGGGAAATGTGCCAGGGTGTTTTATTTGCTCAAACAGGCAAGCAGAGTGTACACGACAACAGTGCAACTTGGCCAGATGTCAGAGCCATTCTCTTGGTTTTAGTCTGATCTATGTGCATGTACATCTCCTGGGATAAAAGTTGTTGCCTAAGTTTAAAATATGGTATTTGGCCAAATCTGCRTTTTTGTTGCTGCTTTTTTGATAGTCAGGAACACGGTAGAAGATGATGAGGGAGATTTGCGAGGCACTTTGGAAGGCCTTGCCCTGGGCTGTGCGGCTGCTGTGTGGCACCATGGCCTTGTGCAGGGCTGTCCCTCGGCCCCACGGCGCTGTGCGGGGCTGCCCCTGAGCCCCGCGGCCTGGGGACGCCCAAGCACATCCTGCCTCCCCGGGAGCCTGCCCGGCGGCCCGGAGCGGCGCCTCGGAGCCCTGCGGAAGCTGCTGTGGGGCTGGTGCGGTGCAAGGGCTGGAGCAGGTGAGAGCCAGTGCACTGTGTAGGAGTTCAGCCAGGTGCAGGGACTGAGCAAAAGCTGCCCAAGATGTGTGGGATTCGGCTTGTGCTTGGAGAAGCACCTGCAGCTGGGAGGTTTTGGGAGAACCCCCCAAATGTAATCTGTTTTTCCAGGGTAGGCTGTTTTTTTGAGATTATAAAAATTGAAATCGGTGTATTTCCCCAAAGGTGAAGTGTACTGTGCTTTATTTCTTCCCCAGAAGAGATAAAGATGTGCTTATGTTTGTAAAATACTCAATTAGCAGCTAATGCTATGTCWTTCATTTGAACTTGGCTTAGCCATTTTTTCACACCCTTTTTCATAGCTTTATTTGAAAGCAAGGAAATAATTATTTATTGGTAACCATTATGTTTATCACAAGTTGATTAACAAATCAGAATAAATATTTGTTGGATAAATTAGATAGCAAAAACCCAATTAAATTTTAAACTATTATTTGCAATATATATATTACTTGCCTTTCAATTATACATTTCCCCACCCCTCCTTGGCTTAATTCCCCCTTTTCCCTCTTCTTATGGAACTATTGGGCAAACTCTCTTATAGGTCCCTGCGTATTCCCTATGTTCCTGCACAAGAACCCCAGAAGTTTGAGGGTGAATAATGTGGAGGTGCAACAAGGTGCAGTGCTGAGGGAGCCTCTCCCAGGCAGTTTCTCCTTCACACGAAGAACACGAAGAGCTGCACGAGGGCAGCGGGGGCGTTCAGGGCCTGTCCTTCGCATCAGCCCTCTTCCTGCAGCGTGCCAGCAGTTCTTGGTAGCTGTGTTTGAACGCCAAGATTCTCCCTGTATGGGTTTCATCTTCCCTTAATCTCCTCTTGTCTTTGTAATTACTGGTTACTCTCCCTCTGTTAATTTCGGCATGGAGATCCATAATTATTCTATCAATAGTGTCTCGTTCACTGTGCCTGATACTAGTGTAACGCCTGGAAAAAAAAAAAAGATAAAGATTTCTGTGAATTTCTGGCCTCCCTGTTGAAGTGTTTAAGCTTTCCACCAGCTATTTTTCCCTCTCAGAGATTCCCGGAGGCAGAAGACAATTAAACAGACTATTTTCGGCACTTCAAACAGCCGCCTTCTAATTGAAAAGCAGAAGTTTTAATCAACGCTCGGATCAAGTGCGGTGGCCGCCACGCGCTTCCCCTCGGCGAGGGGCCGTGCGGCGCCCGGCTCGCGCGCCCCTCTGCAGCGGGGTTGCGCGCTCTGCCCCACGGCGCTCACCGCGCGCGGGGCCTCGCTGCGGCGGCGGCTGCTGCTGCTGTAGGGAATGGGCTTGTGTGGCAGCCTTGTGGCCTCAGCAGGGCCTCTGGTGCCTCTGATCCCGCTGAGGACAAAGCCCTGCCACCTGGTTCCTGCCAACAGCTCAGCACAAACTTGGTGCCCCCAAAACGTTGCCTTGGCCCCCGCAACCCGACTCTGCGGGCTGTCAGCTGTGTGCCCGTGACATCAGACCGGGAGCTCAGCCTAGGTCGGATCTGTAGGCCATCCGGCGTGAGGCCCAAGTAGCTATTGAAGCAGGGAGCGAGAGGTGCCGCTGGAAGTGGTGCGCAGCAGTGCTGCCCTCAGCCCCCAGAAACCACAGTACTTTCTGGGAGATTTCACCTTCTGAAATTGTAGGTCACTTTTGAACATTTTATCCATAAAATATAATTGAGTGAAAAATGGCTGCGGGCATAGTTCTGAGTTGTGAACCTCTCTGTAAGTGCAGAGAGATGGTGTTGGAAAAGGCTTGGGAAGGCAGGAGAATTATTGGCACCTCAAAGTAATGCTTTTTTTTTGTTGTCTGGCAGCTTGTTAGTTCCTGTCCCTCTCCAGATAATGTATTACAGCAGCTATCATAGACATTAATATTAGCCAGGCTCTTTATAAAAAGCGTTATGATGTTCGTGACATCCTAACTGTCTGTGTTTTTAGCTTCCTTGGTCTGGAAATCTGCATAGGCAGTTTGTGGTGAATGTTCCTTCAGCTCTGCTCCCTGGCCRGGTAAAGCTGTGCAGCGGTTGCCCTTTGCAGCCTTGGAGTGTCCCTTGTGTGCGGAATTGCTTGGGCACTTGGAGAGGTGGCGTTTGAGGCAAGGCTTGAGCCTCAGGCAGGTGCATTGTGGCTGCAGTCCAGCCCTGCTTGGACGTCGGTGGAGGTTTGAGCCCTGGTTTCAATGAGCAAGGAATTCCAAGCGTGATTTTTTCACATTTGCTTGCTCCCACAGAGCCTCTTCATTTATTTGTGGAGGTTTGCCAATTCATTATGCTCTTCCTTCCAGAGTGTCTGAAGGAAGAGCTGGAGACACTTGCTGATGAAAAATACTTCCAGGCTTTACAAGGTTCCCCATCACTTCTGAGAAATGAAAGATTTAATACTTAGGGACTACGGAGTGTAGCTCTGCAGTTTAGACAGCCTCTTATTCTATGGTTGCTAAACAAATTTGTTTTAAAGGTAAACGTCTTTTGGCAATCCCCACTGCTCTGGCCAGATGACATGGATTTATGAAGCGCTTTTCATCCCGTGGATCCCCAGTGTTTGAGACACATCTCAGGAGGCTCCGCAGAGGTGTTGAGGTTTTCAGGCGAGGGGTGGACGCCGTTTGTGGCGGCTTGCAGCCCAAAATGTGGTGGTTTCCTCACAGAGCGTGCAACCCGGGATGACCTTTGGGAGAAGAAAGTGAGGAGCATTTTCGTTACCTTTTTTCCCCCTCAGTTGTAGCTACTGGGAGATGATGTTTTTTCTACAGCTGAACGCAGTGTAGTTGCAAGTGCTTGAGTTTGGACAGAGCAGCAGGTTTCACAGTCACGGCTGCAGTCCTGAAGGAGAGAGATGGGATCTGAAGCGCTGACAAACGGTCGGCACTTGGATCCTGCTGGAGGTTAGAGTCACTGGGGCAGGGAACGAGCTTCCAGGGAAGCATCTGTGACACTTCCGAGTGTGCTGGGAGAGGAGTTTGAAAGACACACCAGGGCTGCCAGGATGTTGTGTCGGTGGAAGAAATATGACATAATCATCACCTTTTTGGAGAGGCCCATTTTTCTTTCCAAGACTCCCTCTGTCAAGAAGAGCCGACTCGCCCTGAGCTGCCAGGGCCAGCAGCCTCGCGTGGCGCCGGCCGGGGGAGCTGCCTCGGGAGCTGCTCATTGGCCTGAGCCCACGCTGGAGCTCGCGGGCTGTGTGCGGTGCCGAGCTGCCCGGGCAGCCGGGCTGGAGCGCCGCTTGCGGCTGCTGGAGCCACATACAGACGGGTCTGGAAGCCCCTGCCCTGTGGGCCGAGTCCCCGGCAAGCGGCACCTCCGTTTGTGAGGAGCATCCCGGATAAAAGGCCGTTGCTTCTTCCGTTTTGATCTCCAACGAGATCATTGTGTAACAATCCACCCTTATGTAAGCGGAAGAGGAGATTAGAGGGGCAGCTCCTCCAGCAGCAGGAACACGAGGAGGGCCACTTGGATATGTGACACCTCACTGCAGGGTGTGTTTGCACACTTGCTGCTTTCTCTGTGATAGGGCCCAAAGATAAGTGCACAGGCAGCTCTTTTTATACCTAACATATTGGAAAACTGCTTGCAGAGTACTGTGGATTTTTTGTTTGTTAGTTTGTTTTTTATATCCTGATTCATTTATATTGGAATTTAGGACTGGGCATGTGGAGCTGTGTCTAAGTGACAGGAGCCTGATTGCAGAGAGATGTAGCCGGGCAGGCCGGGAGCATCTCGGCTTCCCCCTCGGGCTGCAGAGCTTCCTGGCAGCTGCTGGCAGCGGCGCCCGCTCCTCCTCGGAGCGCGCGGGGGAGCCGCGCGGGCGGCTGGAAGCGGCTGGTTCGGCAGGAGCAGGAGCGCAGCCAGACACACGCGCCCCACGCGCCCCCCACTGCCGCCTCGGCGCTGGGCTGGGGTGGGTTCCCTCCAAACGTGTGTTTGACAGATCATTTAGCAGATTGATACGCTTAGGATTGATTGGACTCTTCTGGCACACATAGGTTTTTCGCAAATGTGGAAAAAGAATTCACACTCCTTGACTGTTGTCTTTTATCATCAGGAGGTGCATATGTTGTATACACCTTCTAGGAGCATTATAAAAACTCAGTGTTTACAGAGTACGTTTTATATGGCAGTCTAGGGGAATAGAAGGTTTCCCTGCTTGGAACTTAAAAGTCCCCTTTCCAGCAGCAGTTGTGTGTGAGCACTTGGCCTCTCTTGACAGGGGCTTTGCCGAGCTGCTGAGGATCGTGCCTAGCTGCTTGCTGGGGGTTTTCTGCTTTCTGTTGTTAAGTGGACAAATGTGAATTTATCCACTTRGACCTCTAGTATTGATGGCTCTGGTTCTTCTCTCTTTGCTCTCGGTGAGGTGTTTTTCATRTATTCGGTGTGTGGTATTGGAAGAATCGTCGGGGACAGACAAATGCCAAGGACGTTCAGGAGAAAAAATAATAGAAATCTATTTAACCTTAAAAATTCAAACTTAAATAGAAGGACCAGGACGGTCCTGATGTGTGTCTCCTGGAGCAGTGCTGCCAGCCATGCTTCTCCTTACCTTGAGCTGTGGTGTGCAGGGATGACCACTTAGCAAAGCACCTTTTCCACCTGATTTCTGATAATCATAGGCTTGTATGTTTTGTATGTGGGTTTTTTGGTTGGTTTGTTCATAGCTCCATGCTTTGGAGCGCTATATTTTTCCTATTTGTTTACATGTGTTTTTGTATGTACCCTCTAACATCTCACACATCTTCAACAAAACTCATTTCCCGTGGAAGGTGTAATGTTACCTTAGAATTTTCTCTRTCTTCCAAATCCCGGTAATTTAGGTCTCTGATATATTTTTTGTTATTTAGTAAGATTCCATTTGACTCTGTCTTGATGATTAGTGTTTTTGCCAAGCTTGGTGGTTCCTTGCCTGGATCAGACTAAGGCTGTTGGTGAGCACAGTCATTTAGCATTKTGCATAGGACAAGGGGATCGTTTTGTCAAAAAGAATTTGGAGTGTTTCTRAAATACTCCAGATGTTTTACTGTAGGTTCATGTGTGTTTATAACGCAGGAGAACTGCTTCAGATCCTGTGTCTGTTTTTAACGCCACATATTGTTTATTCCATGTACTCCATGAATGATTCTTACTACGTGTGTTCAGACATAAAAATTGGGCCATTTTCCACTGGAGTAGCAGCAATTGCCTGWGAGCTTATTCCTTTCCTTGGATTTAGTACCAAAATATGGAAGTGATGCTTAAAGATGAGTCACACCCTTGATTTTCCTCCTGCGCTTCCGAGAGTGCACTCGGAGCTGGGGGATTGCCTGCTAAGAAAGAAACTCGGGGATAATTTAGTGACCTGGTCTCKGCACTGCTGAAGGCAGTGAAACTCTGCCCTTGAGTTCAGTGAAAGAGCTGGAGCTTCTCTCTGAGGCTGCACAAGTGGTTAAATTTAAGAGCATTTGGGCTGGAGAGCCGGTGTCATTTGGCTGCCTCCTTTAGCTTCTTGCTCTCTGTGTCTTAAGTGCTGGCAATTTGAGGCTGTGAATGTGTGCTTTATAGTTGGCCTTTGTTTATTCAGTGAGTAAATGTTTTCCATACTGATGTGAAGCCCTTGTCAAAGGTCACCTGTTAGCTACAGTTACGGATCTTAGCGGGTAGTAAAATCTCTGTCCCATGAGAAATTTTTCCACCTTTTTCTCATAGTATTATGTACCGCCACATTACCTTGCCCAGAAAAATACAACAGTCTCTTTAATAACTTATTAAAAGCTTTTCCACTGTCCATTCACCAGCCTTATGTGCAAGGAAACAGCTATTAGAGAACTATGCAAGGAAGTCTTTCTTCCATGCTTCATTGTAGGAAGTTATTTGGCATGGAAAAAAATGCTCATATATCATGAAGAGGGCTGGCTGTGTTTGAGCTGTCCCTTCCATATGAAAACATTAGAGAGTGGGATTTCCTATAGCCCTTAAGAGRAGCGATGTGGATTCTGTAGTTCAGGAATAGAGATGATTTTCCTCCTAGCTTGCATGAAGGGGTAGCTAATGCAGAGGCCCAGCCCTGGTGAACCTGCACTGTGTCTTACAGAGAGTCCAGTGATGAACGAAATCACACCTCTCTGTTAGAATGATCATGTATAAATTGCTGGGTTACAGCTAAAATCCACTGTGCTTTTCCTGCTAGGAATTTTAGTTGTGTATCTCTGATACTCTTTTTCACTGGGCATTATTTCTTCTCCTCTTACCTGTTTCCTGCCTGGAGGTGGGGTATAGGTTGGCCAGGGCAGAGAAGCAGGACCCCGTGGTGCTGCTTGTGCCTTTCTTTGGATTGCAAGAGAACATTTARATGGGATGCCAGCAACAGGTCTTGGGAGGTGGCTTTCCACACAGGTTAGTAGCTGTAGGCAGTGACTTTCTGTGCTTTTGTTCCCTTCGTAGAAAATGCAATTCTTAAATAGAAGGGCTTAGGGAAAGTGTCTTTTTTTTTGATTTTTTCATGCAAGTTGGATGCAACCACTTCACTTGGAGTGAGTTTGGTGGCTTTAACAGAGATGACCCTGTCCTGTCCCCACGTGCCTTGCGCTCGCTGCCCCCCCAGGCCTCTGCTGCCTGGTGGGAGGAGGTGCTGCTCTCGCCATCCGCACCCTTGGGCCCTTGGCTCCGCTGCAGGTTTTGCTCCTGCTGTGCAGCTGCCACAGGAAGAGACCTGCTGCACGTGTAAGTGCTGCTGAATTAGACTGAGCTGGTTTGCAGCGGCGTGAGACGGGCGGGTTTAGCAGCGGGCTGCGTGCTGGTGTCACTGCACTGCCTCGTCCAAGGAGTGCCCTTTCCTTCTTCCCCTTTTTCCCTTGCCTTCTGATAAAATATTTCTGAAAGCTGATAGAGACTCTGTAAAAAGGTTTTGAGGCAAAAAGATATAATTTGTTTGGAATAAAAGAATAATTCTGTAGACCAAAACTAGCATAACCGAGGTGAGAGGTTTCCCTAGGAGAAGAGGCAGCAGCTCTTGTTGCAGGGTGTTACTGGGTGAGCATTTTACTTCACTTTTACTTCACTCCACACTTCCCTTTGGAAAGGCTTGKCCTGGTGGAAAATGGGTAGCCAGCAGAGATGGGACGTTAGGTGCATTAACTTCCAAGGTTACATCTGAGACTCCCAGCAGACTCCCTGAGCAGCTGGTAATCTGCAGAGAGTGCGTTACTGCTGCTCACAGAAAAGGATGTTATGGGCCCAAATGCTGGGGGGAAAAGTGCTAAGTATAGCACAGGCAGTACATATGTCACTAGAGAAAACAAAAACAAACCAGAAAAGAGATCACAGAAGCGACTGTGCAACCTTTCACAGCCTACTTGGGTGTGCTGGGAGTGGAGGACCTTGCTGGCATCCGGCAGCAGTGTCTTCACACGATCATTTCTGTGTTCTAGGTTTGTCTGCTTGGTCCCAGCATTCAAGATCTCGACGTCGGATGTCTTCGTGCTCCAGACATGAAGATCGAAAACCCTCGGAGGTATTTCTGCAATTAGATTAACACCTTATTATGTCTGTCTAATGGAAAGCACATGTCTCGGTAATGGAGCCATTTCTTCTGAGTTACGTTTTCTTTTCTTCTTGCTCCATCTCCTGGCACCTGCCCCCCCATCCTTTGTGGCCTCAAGAGATCAGGGAGTTCAGCTGCTCACATAGCCACAGCCAGCAGCAGTTTTTAGCAGTGCATTTTTGGCYGATTCTGACACACCGTAGCCCTGGTAGATGTCTTCTAGTGTTTGAGGAGCTGGGGTTGATTCGTAGTGTGATTTGTGCAGAATGAAGCTTTATGTCAGGTGCGTTCGTTTCATAGCTGGGCCCCAGTAGGTGATCTTACTTAACATGCTTGTTAAATGAGAAATTTSCTTCTTTGTAGTTCTGTCTCAGGTAGCGCTTTGAGGAAAACTTAGCAAGGGCAGTGTAAATCATGCTGAGCTTTCCAGGCTGGATCAGTCACACATGAATGCCTGCCAGTTCTTTGGAGATATTCGTGCTGAATCTTCCTGTCTACAGGCAGAAATTGGATCAGGGTTCTGTGGAGGCTGCAAAGAAACCATGAGCTTTGGGAGGCAGAGTTTCCAGGGCTTTTGCCCTTAGCCAAGACATGCACTTCTGCTGCGTAGTGTGTGGCTGGTGCTGAGAAAAACCGTGCTTTGCTCGTCTCCCTGATACCAGTGTACCTTAGTCCTAGYGAAGAGTTTTCATGGGAAGAATCCCAGTCATTGCTCGGTCTGTGAGAACTTCAGCTGGAGAGTTTACTGGTGATTCTTCAGTATTTTTTGATTGTTGTATCTTAGGGTTTTGTTTGTTTGCTTTTGTGAATGTTTAAGCCTATGGTGAATTTGTTCCTGCCGGTGGTAGGCTTCTTTCCTGGCGTTCCTTAATTATCCCTTAGAAGCAGCCCCTAGACCTGAGATAACTGTGGCTCTTGCTATTGCCTGTCTGTGTGTGTTCCTGTCTTTTCTCCCTCCTTTCCTTGCACCTGTTGGCAACGGCTCTGTACAGTTTTGTGCTGGTCTCTCCWTGTGCCTTCCCTGCCTGGACGGGGGTTGCTGCTGCCCGTTCGGTGCGTGGCGCGGTCCCGTCTGCCTCGGCTGCCTGCGCTCCTTGCACGGCGCCGCGGCCCCTGCTGAGCGTGAGACGCTGAGGGAGCTGCTGGCTGCGCTGGGCTCGGGGCAGCGTCACCGCAGCTGCAACACGGCCGGGGTTTCGCCCCTCGCTCTGCAGCGCCCGCGTCCGGGGCGCCGTGAGTGCCTCTGTCCCGGCAGCCTGGTGGCAGCGGCACGCGGAGCAGAAGGAAGGGTGACCGAGCGGGCCACGCTGTGAGGCGCTGCGTTGGCCCCCTCCTCTGTGAGAGCTTGGGGACAAACTTAACTGATAGCCCAAGGTACTCCCGCTCTCACACAGGGCAAGTTTTGCATCCTGCTCTGTGTTTTCAGTTTCGTTTTCATTTGGCTGCTGTGATTCACATCACTGAGAAGTGCAGAAGCCCCTGGCCAGCTGGGCATGGTTTTTTTGTGAGCTAGTTTTCGTGGTGGATTATTTTGCACTCCTTGGCTGCAGCCTCACAAAACTTGCGATTAGATTATTTAAAAACGTTTTCATCAGATGTCATTACCAGTACTCACCCTTCCCTTCATACTTATTTTTAAGGGTGGCAATTTTTTGACATCTGTTAATGTAAGAAAAGAAGTCATAATTCTGCTTTCTCAGAAAAGTGTTGAAACACTGAACCACACTGAAGTGTTTCAACTCAGTGTTGAAACAGCAACAAACAGAGATGCTCATGGGGAGTATGTGTGTGCTGGGCGGGAGGAAAGGCTTCAAAACGAGTTGTTCTGCCTGAAAGGCACTTCACGCTTTGACATGAGGGCCTATCATTAACCATCAAATTTGTTGCTTCTCTGAAACACTTACCCAAACTCTCAGATCATCTACTGAGAAGTCAGGTGTGTTAGTGGTACGTGACAGACTGCTGTCCTCGGGAGGCCTGCCTGGACACCTCGCTGTGGAGGTGGCTCTTTGCAGCCACATGCAGCACTTGGCTGGCAGGGGCCCACGGGGCTGGGCAGTCGCTCTAGCCCAGGAGCAGCTCCTGGAGGCCCTTGCTGCTCATCCTCCTGCTCCTGTGGGCCTTGCAGTGCAGAGCTGCATGGGTGCTGGCTCGGCCTGCCCCATGGGAGAAACGCGCATGGGACCTGTCCTTAGGATGCTCCTTTCCTCTTCTTGCAGAGTGGTTGTGTTCTCGTGTCACCGGGTGATTTCTCCTCTTTTCCTCTGCATGGGGCAGGGGGCTGCGGGGACAGGGCAGCCGGGGCTGTTGCTGTCCCGCACAGCAGCACTGCAGCGCGGGGACGAGCGCACAGCTTTGGTTCCCGGCCTCGTCCTTGGCCCTCTGCAGCGTGTGGACCAGGCGCGCGGCACGTCCCTGCGCGGGGGGACCCCTCTGGATTTCACTCCTGGCTTGCCGGAGGCGGCCTCGCTGCGGGCTTGTGCTGCCRGCTACCCCACGGGCTTCAGAGGCAGGTGCCCTTGCAAAGCGGAATCGCGGCCGTGGGGCAGGGGTGTCTGCAGCGCGCGCAGCAGCGAGCCCCTGTGCTGAGCRCGGAGCTGCCCTCCGCCTCGCAGCCCGGAGCCTGCTTTCCTTGCTCTTTTGGCTAGTATTTTTAAATGCTTGCACCAAGAGTCATCTCCTTAGAATTTCCTCTCGCGGCTGGTCACGGTGGAGTCCCGCCTTGATTCCTACCGCAGGGAATTTCTAGAATGCTTTCAGATTAGWCGGAGCTGCAGCAGTTACCGAAGCCCTGGGGCTCGGTGCCGCGCTGAGGCCGCTGCGTGGTGGCGAGGGTGCCCGCGCCGCAGGGGCGACGCTTCCCTGCGGCTCTCGCTGCAGCCAAGAGGGAGGGCCGGGCGGCTGCGGCTGCGGCTGCGGCTGCGGCGGGGGAGCCCCGGCCTCGTAGAGGCCTCAGCCGCTGTGTTGGCCTTTGCAGCCTCTGCCCTCCCTTGCCCTGCCCCGCGGCTGAGCCCCGTCCTGCAGCCGTCGGCGGGGCTCGCGGGTGGTACCGTGACCTCGTTCTGCTCCACACTCACCCTGGAGCCAAGAATCAGAGTGTGAATATCGAATGTCAGTGTCTCTATTTCTCTCTCTTGGTCACTCTCTTTGCAGGTGTTCAGAACGGACCTGATCACTGCCATGAAGTTACATGACTCCTTCCAGCTGAACCCTGAGGATTACTATGTGCTGGCAGACCCCTGGAGGCAGGAGTGGGAAAAGGGAGTTCAGGTGCCAGTTAGCCCAGGGACCATCCCCGAACCAGTAGCCAGGTATAGTTTGGAGGAATGCAACCAAATGCACACACATTTCTGCTRGCAGCTCATGTGCGTTGCCTCGGCTGCCCGGGCCCTCTTCGCTCGGGAACAGCTGGAAGGGACTCGCTTCTCGGAGAGGAGAGCGACCTGCCTGGGCTCGCTGAGTGGTGGGACAGGCCAGGAACCAGGCCAGCTCTGTTCTGCGCTGGGTAGAARCACGAATGTCGGAGAATGATGGTGGCATTTTTTGCTAGGAAGAACTGTGATGATGTACCCTCACAAACAGCTGCCATTTTTAAGCCCAGACCTGACCTCACTCAGCACRGCCAGAAGAGCCCTTGCCTGGCGCTTCTCGTGCTCAGTTCCAAGCCAGAGGTGCCTTTCAAGGAATCACTTGGATAAGACAGATTTAAAGGATCCAGAGAACGCAGCATTTGTTCTGGCTTTATGCTGTTTTCTGGTCTCATTTTGTTTACTAACTTGAAAGTTTTATATTTGTGTTTTTTTACACAACACGTCAGTTGTTTTAAGAGCCATCCAGATGTGCCTGTAACTAAATGCATCAATGCAGGATTTCCCAGCTCTAACCCAYGCAAACGTTTTCTTTCCCTTGTTTGTTGCATTCAGATGTTTTGTGTTTCCAGTTGAACRGTGCACTTGTCAAGGCAGGAGCATACTGCAGCAACTGCCGTGTGGCTAGCTGGGATTGGAGGTGGAGAAAGTGGGAATTTTGGCCATTTGATTACTTACCTCTGCCAAGGCTGCAGCCCTGGCGGCAGGGAGGCTGTAGTGGCCCTTAGACCCAGTTACGCCTGCTGGGCAGGGACTCCCTAAAACCAGTTTGCCCCGCTGAGCAGTGGCCCCTCCAGCCCCATTTCCTGCTGTTGGCTCCATGTGGAGGCCGCTGAGGCTGCAGCTCCTCTGCGCAGGGCCCYGGAGCAGGGCCGGTCGCTCAGGTAGAGCAGGAGGGAGGGCGCTACAGGCGGCTGCTGCTGGCCAGGGGAGGATCCTGCGGAACCGGAGGCTTTGCCCGTGCAGGCAGGGGCCGGCGCGAGCGGGGCGGGAGCGGGGCAGAGCGGGGAGTCCGTGTACTCATTCAGTGCCCGTGTGTGCTGGCGTTCAGCTCAGTGTGCCTTCTGGGGCCTTGCAACAAGCGTGGCTGCTTTTGTGGCCCTCTAAACCCCYGTGGGATTTAGGCAGCACATGCAGGGATTGCCCAGGGTTTTAACTGCCCTGTGGAGAGGCGCTCAGGGAGGGATTTATGGCACGGAGGGTTCAGAAAACTGTGCTCAGTTTAAAGTACCTGGTGTGAGATGCAGGAGTCTTGAACGTGTTAATCCACGCGGCCCGGCCCGGGGCAGCGCAGCAGCTGAGGCAGCACCATGAGCTCTGCAGAGCCCTTGGGTTGCGGGTCGTGCAGAGGCCCCAGGTGCAGTGTTGGCCTCTCCCCACGCTCTGCGTGTCCAGGGACAGGCTGCCTGGGGAGGACGTGACTCCGAGGGCTCTGAAGGAGAGGCCTAGTGAGCTGCGCGTGGGTGCAGCCTTGGCACAACAGGGCGTCTGTCTGCATGGAGCTACTTGGCTGTCTCCAGCAAAGGAGTCAAACAAAATCTCGTTGAGCTGGCAGCTGAAACGCCCTGTCCTACTGGATGGGGGGCCACCTGGAGCCTTCCCAGCCTGAGAGGAGGTGGCTCGGTGGCACCGATCAATCATCCGCTCCAAGGTTTGGCCTGTTGTGGCGTTAGAAATGCAGAGCCAGGATGTCGGAGCTGGGATGTGCTGGGGTAAGTGAGGGCAAGGTGCATGGAAAAGCCCGCGGGTCTGTGGAAGGGACTTCTGAATCTCACCAGGATGGCAATGCCATAGGTACACACACAATGAAGGAAGAAATTTCAGAAAGAAAACACTATGTGTTAGTAGCAAGTGTCACATTTTTTCTCCATCAGTTTTCTTGATTTTGCTACTATAGYTAAACAGATGAATTTAAAAATGTCTTAAAACAGAGTTTAGTGTCTGTGTCTATGGCAGCCATCACTACTTAAAAACAGTGTGTCTCCTCTAGCTTTGAAACAGGTAAGAATTTCAGGTAAGAGCAGCCAGAGCTCTGTCCTCTARTCTCTTCATTTTCTCAGTGATTTGTGTCATGACCTGGGTTTCCAAGCAAAGCCAGCCCGTTGTTCATAGCCTTGCAGTGCTGTAAGCTGCCTGAGCCGTGTTCCGGCCCCATCCCAGGGGTGCAGGGTGCCCTAGAAGGTCCTGGCCCCTCAGAGCGGGGCACCGCGCGCTCTGCGGACGCGGGTCGCTCGGCAGCCGGCAGACCCAGCGCGTCTCTGTCCCCCTGCTGCAGGATCGTGTCCGAGACCAAAGCGGTCACGTTCACACGTCCCAGGAAGTACATAGTGTCCTCGGGCCTGGAGCCGCYGGAGCTGGGCTACGTGGACATTCGCACCTTGGCGGACGGCGTGTGCCGCTACGACCTCAACGACGTGGACGTGGCCTGGCTGCAGCTCGCCAACGAGGAGTTCAAGGAGATGGGTGAGCAGGCGGCGCCCGCGTTGTGTCAGGGTGTTCCTGTCGTGCCAGTGTCACGGTCCCTCGTCCTCACGGAGCGCGTGCCGGCAGTCTGCCCAGCGGCCAGTTTCTGTGTGTTCTTTCCCACTGTACCACACATCCATGTTCCTCTCTGCAGCTGGTTCTGTTCTCTCTGCAGAGGTAGACCAGGAGTCTTGGGAGGTTCGGGGAGGCTGCACGGCTCAGGGAAGGAGTCYGTAAGGAGCTTCCCCCGTGCTTGCTGTGAAGAGCCTCCCAGACCTTTCAGTGAAAATTCCTCCTTTCTGAGCCCACGTACGGAAGAAACAGCCAGCTCAGACCTTGTCTCTTCCTGAGGCCTTTTATCCAGATCTCCGGTCAGGCTTAATCCCATTCAGTGTGTGAAGACATCGTGCTTTTTTTCTTTTTTTTTTTTTTTTAAGGATGATGATTTAAAGGTTTAAGTCACTTTTCCAACTGTCTTCAGGAAAACAGCAACAGCAAATCTCAGTCTGGGTTTGCACCCTGCTGGATCACAGTTTCTAGGAAACCGTTAGTTTGCTACAAGCACAATGTTTGAAATATTTCCCTGATTGGTGCTTCATCATTTTTAGTTCAAAATACTCCATAATCTTTAACTGAAATTCAGTGTTTGGGTTGCAGAATTGAAACAGAAACCATAGCTAGTGCTGCCCAAGGAGAAGTGAAAAATGAGAACACGACCAGGAAACCAAAATCAGAATCACCTGTAAAAACTCTGCGGCTTTTAAGAGATCAGTTTTGATACTTCACTTGTGTTAGTCTAGCGCTGTTCCAGGACAGAGTGTTTTTTTTYAGCGTGCCATTTTTTGTGCTTCCCTTAGTTTATGCTGGAGCAGTCCCAAATGTCTAGGAAGGAGGCACGTGGAGGCTGCTGGGGAGAAGGCTGCAAATCTCATGGGCTGTAGATTCCGAAGGGAAGCTGGGGATGCCGGCGCCGGGGCTGTTCCCTCCAAGGAAATAACGGGTGCGGTTCCGCAGGGCTGCCCGAGCTGGACGAGCAGAGCATGGAGCGGGTCCTGGAGGAGTTTGAGCAGCGGTGCTGCGACAGCATGAGCCACGCCATCGAGACCGAGGAGGGCCTGGGCATCGAGTACGACGAGGACGTCGTCTGCGAYGTCTGTCAGTCCCCGGATGGCGAGGATGGCAACGAGATGGTGTTTTGTGACAARTGCAACATCTGCGTGCACCAGGTACGGCCGCGCAGCCACCGTGGGGGATGCAGGGGYGCTCCAGGCCCTTCTCCAAGCCCTTAGATTGGTTACCTCGGCAGTTGGGGTTTTACAGTGACAGTCACTGTTCTATAAAGTTTTTCTAGAGTTGACCGTTGAGCAGCTAGGTGCATTCAGAAATTACCTGTAATTGTAAAACTGTCATGCTGAGAGAGCTAAAAGRTGGCATTGTAGCCTGTGTGTGAGGGAAGCTACAAGCACGGCCCCATGAACACGTGCAGATGGGCCCTGTGGTACCTTCTCACTTCCCTGGCTCTGTTCCTGCTTTTGTCCCTTGCTGCACGCTCTTGCATACCCGCAGTGCCAGCAACTTRGGCTGAGCAGGGAGGAAGAGAGAACTGAGGCAATTTGCCAGGCCTACAGCTGGATTTATCCCAATGCTTCTGCCTTCATGAAGACCCTACCAACGTGAGCTGGGCAAAGGGAGCACCACGATGTGCCACCTCTTGGTGGCCCTTGAACAGGCCCTTTTAGCGCAGGAGAACAGATGCTCTGTGTTTCCCTGGCTGCTCCTTTCTGTGGGCAGTGCCTTCCCAGGGCCTGTCCAGCTGCCTTCCCAGCTTCGAGAGGGTTGCTGTGTCATGCAGAGCTGGGAAGGCTGGGTCAGCCTGTAAGCAAGACAGTGTTTTCTTGCTCGTGTTACCTAAGTCTGTATTTGTACGTATGGTAAAGAAATACCGTTACAAAAGCAGTAAGGCATGAGCTGCTATCTAGCAAGTGCTCCAGGAATAAAGTCAGTGCTTGAAGACCTGTAGCTGTTCCACGCTAATCTGTAATCACAGCCAATCTGAAACTTAAATAGGATTAAAATTGATACTAGTTTGGATGGAGGTCCCCATAAAGAAACAGTCTTCTGAGGCAAGTGATCCTACTTAGTCCCCACGCTGCGCTCCTCCCTCTGAATAAGCAGTACAGGGACCAGGGCTTTGGAGAAAGGCTGCGTTTTGCACCACAGGGCTCTCGAGTTCCTGGATGTGCCTTTTGACTTGGGTTCAGGCCCAAGTGCTGTCACTTGTAGGGTTTCTCATACTGAGCCCTGTAGCTCACAGCGCCCAGGGCTGCTGCTGGGGCTCCCTTTGCTCTTTATTTTCCCAGCTGAAGTGTGGCCAGTGGGTTTTCCTTAYATTAAAAGTTGGTGTTGGCTTCCTGCTTTTCTTGCTCAGAGGAAAACTCTGTTTGGGGAATGGGTCGCGTGGTTGGCTAAGTCTAGGAAGCATCCTGAGATGCTCCACAACTAATGTGTTTATATATATTTTTTATATACATGTGTGTATGTAAAATGCATACACATCTAACAAACATGCGTGCATGCATAGTCCGTAGATGCATATGTGTATATATATCAYGTGTGTGTGCACGTGCGTGCAGGTATTTTATATACGTTCTAGTAGCATTCTGAGAGTTGTGCAAAGCTACCTGTAATCAGCTAAACAAGCAACAGGCCTGTGTGTTGTTGTTCCCGGTGCTGGCGCCGGCGCAGGCCTGCTACGGCATCCTCAAAGTGCCCGAGGGCAGCTGGCTGTGCCGCACGTGCGCGCTCGGCCTGCGCCCCAAGTGCCTGCTGTGCCCCAAGAAGGGAGGCGCCATGAAGCCCACGCGGAGCGGCACCAAGTGGGTCCACGTCAGCTGCGCCCTCTGGATCCCCGAGGTAGGGCCGGAGCCCGGCGTGACGGRGAGCGGGGGAGAAGGAGCGCGGCTGGGACGGGCGCTAACCTGGTGCCATGAGGGCAGTGGAAAAGGCTAATCAGGAATGCAGCCACTTCCAGTGAGCTGTAAAGCCTGCCGGGATGGAGCRTCCCTAGGACGGGACTCGCGTTAGCTGTGGCAGCCCTAGTTTGGCTGCAAAAGGGCAAAGCAGGCAGCGCTCTTTATAGTGAGATCTGCTTTGTTTTCTAGACTGAAATTTGGAAGTGAGTTAAGGGAAGTTCAAGATGTAACAGAATTTTTACAGGTTCTAATAAACACATCTTGACACTCTCCAAAAATTTTAAATTGGTAGTGCTGAATTTGWAACTGTTTTGTTCCTGCACTGAAGACCTGAATCTTTTTAAAAGTACCGTTGGATTTTTGTTTCTTTATAAAGTGAAGAAATCAAAACACGCTGATTTGAAGGAAATATATCTTTTTATGAAGTTGCGTCCTGTTCAGTTAACTGCATGGTAGTCACTCTGTGTTCTTATGCTTCTTTCCTTTAGGTGAGCATTGGCAGCCCGGAAAAAATGGAACCTATTACGAAGGTTTCTCACATTCCCAGCAGTAGATGGGCGTTAGTGTGCAGCCTTTGTAATGAAAAAGTTGGGGCTTCAATACAGGTAATTCAGTAGCATCAGTATTTGTTTTTAGGGGTGCTTTTGCTTTGGCACTGTGCTCTTACTCTCTAGTAAAATGCTAGTCATAATAGCCAAGGGTTTGCAGGCTTGCCAACCACTGAACACTGTTTACTCGGGCGCTAGAACTGGCTGCTTGGTTAGTTCTAGCTTTGCATTTCTTATTTTAGACACAACCAGATGTTGGAACGTGTTGGTTGCGAGTGTAGCTGGGATTAAAGTGTTAAAGAGTTTTTTCTTCTGTTTCTGTGGGGTTTTGTTGCTGCAGCTTTTGCTATTCTGAGGGAAACATTTGACCTGTTAATACTGGGCTTTTTGAACAGCAGGCAGGTAAGTAGCCTGCCCAGGATCCAAGCAAGCCAAGAGCTGAGGAATTGACCCCCATTTCCTCCACTGGGGGTGGATAAAATGTGGGGGTTTGGGTGCGTTTTTAAGGAAGAGGAGCCCCCGGGTGTGACGTGCCCAGTAGAGGCAGCGTCGCTTTCTTGTTCTGAGGCCTCCTACTCGCTTTGTCCCAGCGATGTGCAGGGCTCAGGGCAGCAGGRCAGAGCAGAATCCTGGAGATTCCCRTTCTTTGGTAGCTCCGTAGCCTGCGCGTGCCAGGGAGCCACGTGCCGTGTTTCCCGCTCCAGGAGCTCTCCGTGCGCAGTAGACAAACAAGTCCTGCTCAGGTGCAGAGGCCGCAGGAAGGGCCTGTTCCCGGCCAGCTGCGCTCCCTGCACATCCAGTTGGATACGGAGGCAGTGGTTGGTTCTCCCCGGCATGTGGGAATTGCTGCTACTCCCAAAGCACGGAATTGATCCCACCGGAGCGTTTCCGGCTGGGCACAATGCTCATTGCTTTATTTTGTATGCGTAGCTGCAGCAGTCTGTTAGCTGTGAAGGACTTGGGCATCCTCTGCAGTGGAAAACCATTCAGTTTAAGCAATAACTTTGAGAGCAATTTTAAAATCTAGAGCGACTGAGAAAAAACACATGAGTTAGACCCCAGGTTTGTGCAAGGGGACCCAGGAGATGAGGCACAAGTTTGAACTTACTCCGGAACAAATGATGAGAGCAAGTGCAGGTGACCTACTCGGGTAAAGTGATATCATTGTCTAGGAAAAGACAATAAAGTGTAACGTGGTGTTTGTGCTAATGTCTTCCACCTTCCAAGGGCTGGAAATGCCTCAGCAAAATGGCCCTCGGAAGGCCCCTGGGGACAGCTGGGCAGGCACCGCTGCCTGGGTTTTACAGGGAGCAGGGAACAGGACTGCTAGGACTTGCCCTTAGCCTAGTGCTGCAGAATCCATGGTGGTTAGAGTGGAATTAGGATGCAAAAATTCCTAAAATCCTACACTTCTCAAAACTAAATGCCATCCATTTCCCCTTTTCCTCTGCTTGCTCAGAGCCATTTGATGAGGTTGCCAGAAAAAGTTGTAAACCAGCCATGCAGAGGGAGCGCCAGTGAAACCCATCAGTCTGTTTCCATTTAAAGGGATGTATAAAATAGTAAACGTTAAGTAAAGAAAATAAATCTGTCCACAGCATATAAATCTGTAAACATAATACCTCCTTGCAGACCTGTCCCCTTCCTCTTGGCAGCTCTGATGCAGCTGAGAGAAGCTGTTCTGTTCATTTCTGCAGCCCTCTTCAGAGGGGCGGCTGCACGAGTTTTCTGTGAACACGGAGGAGGAAGCTGCGGCTCGTGCTGCCGTCTCGCAGGAGCCGTGCGCGTCTCGGGGCCGGGAAGGACGGACAGGAGAAAAGCCCCGTTGGGGCCGCGAGGCCCCTGCCCCACTGGCAGAGTATCCTGCAGAGCTGCTCTCAATGCCGCAGCAGCAGCCAGGGAGCCCCGGCCTGCGGSGCGGCTGGGGCGGCACACGGGGCATCGCAGCCAGAGCAGCGTCTTGTGTAAACGTCCCGCTCAGCTGCTCGTGCCCTGCTTGGTAGYGAGAGAGGAAAGGGCAGAAGAGGCTTTTATTGGAAACAAAAGCAAACACCCCCGCCATGCAAACCCTGCTGCGTATATTGATGTTATTAAGGAAGGCTGATTGGCATCTCGGGCAGGGAAAGCCCAGCGCGCCTCCCTGTGCCGGCCGGCTGCTGAGTCAGCCCCAGCGGGAAAGCCCAGAGGAGAAGGACAGTTGGCAGCTTTGCAGGGTACTACATAAGAGTCCTAGCGTAGCAAATTCCTCCTGGAGGGTGGATGACTTGGATAAGGTGCAGTTTTGTTCCCTCCTAGTTAAGGTCAGCTACATTACTTTCCACTTTTCATTATTTGTACTGGGGACAGAAGTGTGAGTTGATAGAAATACGTGTATACATACATGTTGGTGTTGTGTGTGCAYGTATGTATGAACATGCTAGGAACATGTTTAAACCATGTTTATGCTAGGAACATATTTAAACCTTTAAATTTATTACTGGTAATAGTTATGACAGCATTTTGCAGGAGAAAATTAGTTATAATTGAAATCAAGTGTTAAATGAGCAGAGCTAGTGCCAGTCCATGAGGGTCTGATTTCGTTGGGGAGGATGAAAAATGGCAAAAAGAAAAAAAAAATGTGCGTTGCCCCTTCTCCCCCAGGTGACACAGAGCCCAGCAGCCGAGTCGCTCATCCCAGGGAGTCCCGGCCCCTYGGATCCCTGCAGGCAGCCCCGCTTCTTGTGCTTGGCTAATTCCGGTTTCATTTCCGTAGTGTTCGGTGAAGAACTGCAGAACAGCSTTTCACGTGACCTGCGCATTTGAGYGCGGCTTGGAGATGAAGACCATCCTGGCGGAGAACGACGAGGTCAAGTTCAAGTCGTACTGCCCCAAGCACAGCGCCGCCAAGCCGGCGCCGGAGGGGCCGCTCCTCGCCGAAAGCCCAGGCTGGGAGAACGGGAACGGGCTCCAGGAGGGCGCGCGTCCTGCCCACGTCGCCCCCTTCCACGGCAAGGAGCAGAACCACGAGGAGGCCCACAGGGTCAGCGTGCGCAAGCAGAAGCTCCAGCAGCTGGAGGACGAGTTCTACACGTTCGTTGAGTCCTCGGAAGTGGCTCAAGCGCTGCGGCTGCCCGAGGAGCCCGTGGGGTTCCTCTACCAGTACTGGAAGCTGAAGAGAAAAGCCAATTTCAACAAGCCCCTGATTACCCCAAAGAAGGACGAGGAGGACAATCTGGCCAAGCGAGAGCAGGATGTTCTGTTCAGGCGCCTGCAGCTCTTCACGCACCTCCGGCAGGACCTGGAGCGGGTAAGAGCGCGGCCCCGCRTGCGCTGCCGGCCGTGGCTGCCCGTGCAGGTCGCCTGGCTCCCTCCAGCCCACTTGGCCAGGGACACCTAGCTGAACTGGCACAGGGCAGGGTGGGCTAAACCCTTTGCACTTCTGCAGTGGCAGGTTAGGCCCCGGGGTTGGCAGCTCCTGGCTTGCAGTGTCCAGCCATTAGGTAGTCAGTGTCAGATCTGGGGTGGTGCTTCTGGTTGCTCTCTGGTGCTGCAGCCCACGGCAGGTAGCCCCTCTGCAGCTGCGAGGGCTTCCTTTGCTCCTACTTTCTGGTGCACGTGAAAAAAAATCTCTCAGTTTCTCTTGATTTGAGCCACTCTCAGGGAAAAACTGAACAAGAGGGAGTTTTTTTTTTTTTTCTTCAGTAGAGCTCTGATTTCTGTAAAAGTCRTCAATTTGATGCCTTCTAGGTACGTAACCTCACCTACATGGTAACCCGGAGGGAAAAAATCAAGCGGTCTGTTTGCAGAGTTCAGGAGCAGATATTTAATGCCTACGCCAAGCAGCTGGAGCAGGAGCGCGTTTCAGGTAGGCCTCGCTGCCGGCTCCGGCGCCGCACGCGCTGCCTGCGGCCCCGCCACCCTCTCCAGGGACAACAGGACCTCGCTTGGGCTCAGTGAAAGCTTGTGTGGGCCACCCTGCAGCAGCCTGGACGTGAGACTCTGGGGCAGCTCCAGCGGTGGCCACGTTGCCRTAGGAGGGCGTGCGTCTGCTCTCAGGCGCGGGCTCCTGGGGGCCCTGCTGGCTCTGATCCTTTCGGGTGTGAGTTTTGTGCKTAAGTTAATGACAGAGACATGTGAGTGCCACACGGCACCTCGTTGATTAGTGCGGCTTTGTTAGTGCTTATCATGTGTTTCTTTACCACCAYAGCTGGTAGTTTAAAGAAATGCATTTGGAAAGGACAGCAGGTGGAGGTTTTGAAACAAGATGGCTCTTCTTTCTGCCTCTTCTCAGTGGCAGTAGACTCATCTCTCTTCTCAGAGATGAAAAGACTYGAGGCTGGTCTCGTTAATCACTCGAAAGCCTTGAGGACCGATTTCAGAGAGATGCTTCCTGCTGCCCCTGCCCCAGCCTGGGCTTTAGTGCGTGAAGCAGCGCTGGGTACCCCCTGCCCGGGCTGCTGCTTAGGCAGGAGGAGCTCTTGGACAGGCCACCAACTGTCTCTAGATGCTGAAGGGCGCCCCATGGGCACCAAGAGGAGAGCTTGAAGGGGTGCAATTCAGCGCAGTGGGATATAACCAGGAGCAACAATTGCTTGGTTGTAACTTAATTTGTTTACATTTAGGTGTGCCTTGCTCATCTTCCTCAGTGGAAAGCGTGGTGTTGTTCAACAGCCCCTCCTTGGGCCCCGATGCCCCCAAGATAGAGGACTTGAAGTGGCACTCGGCCTTCTTCCGGAAGCAGCTGGGCACGTCCCTGGGGCACCCGGCGAGGAAGGCGCTGAGGAGCAGCAGCGGCGGCGGCGGCGGCGCGGGGCGGCGCGCGGGGCCCGCGGGCAAGGCGCTGCGGCCGCCCGGTACCCGYGTCCATGGGCCCCTGGCCGAGGCCCGGCTCGCCCCGGCACCTCCCAGCAACGGCCTCGTGGTGCCCGAGCACAGGAAGAGGCGAGACGATGGCRCCCCGGGCGAGGGCACGAGGGCCGAACTGAAGGAGAAGCCTCCCAAGCACAACCACAAAGCGCTGCGGCCCGCGGAGCTCTCGCAGAGGCACTCGGAGAACAAGCGGGCCCCCGGCCACGCGAGCGCTCGGACAGCGCCCGGCACGCGCAGGGATCTAGTGCCTAAATGCAACGGCGGCCTCGTCAGAATAACCCCCAACCAGACGGTGGTTAAAGTGCCTACGACGCCCACGAGCCCAGTGAAAAACTGGGGCGGTTTCCGAATTCCAAAGAAGGGGGAGCGGCAGGCGCGGGGCGAGAGCCCTGAGGCGCCCGGCCGCCGCGGCGCCGGCTACCCCTACCTGGCCRTGGGCCGCCTCTCGCCCAAGGACAGGGCCAGGAGCAAGGCCAGGCCCGACAGCGAGAACGACGGCTACGTCCCCGACGCCGAGATGAGCGACTCGGAGCCGGAGGTGGCCGAGAAGAAGTGCCGGCCGCCGCGGCTGAGCCCCAGCAGCGCGCTCGGCCGCAGCGCGGACATTATCCGGAGAAGCATCCTGGCTTCCTGACGGGAGCRCGCTCACCGGGGTGGCGCCCGCGAGCCGCCCCCGCGAGAGGTGTAGGTGGGAGGAGGGAGAGGTCTTAGACGTGGCTACAGACTGCCAGGGTGCACCCGTAATTCTTGAGCTGTATAAATATGTTTACATGCACTTCAAAGATAGTGTGGTTTTGCCCCTCCCAGCCCCTTTTGTGAGAAATCTGAGTCTTTAATTTGCCACTTCCCTGAGGAAGCAAAGAAATGACATCACTACTAAAATAGTGTTTGTGACAAACACTAAAGTGACTCTGAAAACTGCAGCAGGGGGTGGGCAGGGGAAGGTCGGCTGCAGGCATCCTTGTTTAGCTAAACAGCACTGAGGAGGTGGTGGTTGTTGTTTCCTTCCTCACCCTTCCAAAAAAGCACAAGCTGGTACTTAAACTAGAGTGTACGGAGCCAGAGGCGGCTGCTTAACCCTGTTAGAAGTGGTCACGCTCCTGGATGGTGGGGGGGGTCTTTGTCCCGTTGGCAGGTGTGTTTTGTTGCACTCAGTTTGCGCACGTGCAGCAGCCCGGGCCCTCCGCAAGCTCCAGTGTTTCCTGTCCATACACCTAGAGCCGCCAGCCGGGCTGGGAGCAGCCCTTGCACTGGAGAAGGGAAGGGCCCGGGGCTGCAGCTGGCTTGGAAAGCTCCACCCGAGCACCCCGGAGGCRGCTCCAGGCACTCGGTTCGGGAGCGCCTGCGCCCTGCGATAACCAGCTCGCTCCGCCGCTCCGAGTCTGGCGCCCGCCTCCTGGAGAGCAGCGATGAGTGAAGGAGAAAAAAAAATATCTAAGGCACTAGTGAGTGGGATTTCCCCAGCGCACCACGTATGCACTGATGGATGTACTGGGAAAGCCAGGCTTAGGACACTAAAGGGTTAAAGTGGAGGTAAATATATATTTTTAAAGAGAATAAAATGGAAAGGCAATAAATCGTGATTAGCTCTTTACATTCAAATGAAGAAAAGTTATTTCATTTTATTCTGGACTAGATTTGATGGAAGAGGGATCTCACATTCTAATTGCATACTTTTTTTTTTTTTTCCAAATAATTGCAAATGGCAATAACTAGTAAGCTATCAGCAATAATATTGACAGTTCACTAGGGTACTGTTTTATATCGAGGGGGTGTGTACCCACAGCCGTGGATTATGAGGAGCATGTGAGTTTGGGAATTCTGCATAGAGGTARGCAGTCGGGAATGTCCTAGTTGAAGGAAAGTTTAAGCCACAGTAAGTTACAGAGTGCAGGGGTGAGGCAGAGCCCTCCCGTGCCTGCTCTTATCACAGTTGTTTTGTAATGTTAGACCCTGTCTCCTGAGCAGGGAAAGTTTTCAAGTACAGCAGAACTCTGCCAGAACTGAGTCTTCCAGAGGATTCAATCAGAAAAAGGCTTCTTAACACCTTACCTTGCTATGCAAGTTATCACTTAACTGAGTATTTTGACAGAGGGCATCCCTGTCATGTTTTAAAACTTGGAAGTCTTAACCTTTTGATACTTTGTGGGATGCTGATGAAGAGAGGAAATTTTGTKTAACACAGTGTTCTTTTAAATAAACACCATTGTTGCTCCCAAGGAATTAGGTTAACCTCATGATTTGGCCAGACTGGAGTCTAGCAGGGCCTCTGCGAATCTGCGATTCTGTAGTCGTTCTTGGGATGAGTTAAAATAAATGACTTGATAGCAAGCAACAAGACAAAAGGCAAAAGGTAAATGCAGGTAGTTCTATTCAACATAGAGCAGCACATTCTAGACAAGCACTGTTAGTTTCTGCGAGAAGCTTGTGCCATGTAGGGAGTTGTTTGTGAAGCCATAGCTGGAATAATCTAAATTTGGATTCTAAATAAACATTTTGCCTCACCCCGTTGTGCAGGAGGTACCTGCTTGATTTGCACTACGACGCATGCCGGCGCCGCGCGGAACGAATGCCTTACCCGTTTGCTCCCCGCCGGGCAGCTCCGTGAGCTCTCATGGTCCCAGGGAGGCTCAAGCAGAACCAAAAAGCGCTTTCCCTGCCCCAGGCCCAGCTCCGTAGGTTGGTTTTGTCACCTGTGCTTGGTTGGTGTTGAGCAGAGAGGTGGCCTGAGCACAGCAGTGACAACACAAATCCACCCCCTCTGCCTTCTGACTGGGCTAGAACCTTTTGCTGGAATTGGTTTTCTCAATAAGCGTTACCTTTTCTCACGCAGACTGTCCAAGGGAACTGCGATTAGGCTCGGTGTATTATGTCAAACCGTAGGCTAGTTAAAACTTCTGTCAAGTTGCCTGGAATGCCAGTTGCTAGGTTATCAACTCACACAAAGCTAAATGAAGGGTTATACGTGTCGTGTATAAATCTTAATTTCAGAAATTTGAAAGAAAAAATTGTCATTACATTTGTAAAACCTTGTACAGAAGATTTTTCACTATGTGCCTAGCTTTGGTGTCCATTCAGCTAAAATTAATTAAGAAAAGGTGCATGAAGAGAAACAGAAATAAAAAGTATATGTAGAGATGACTATTTTATATTACATGGCCCAATCCTGTATTTATTTTCCCCCTTTTTTGAAGTATTTATAAAGACCTAGTTGAAGACAGCTGTATTTTTTGTTAAAATATTCAGTAGAATTGTGCCTTTTTGTCTGTATGTGAATAAATGCTGTACATTTTTGCAACAGGTTTGTTGCAGTGTTTTAGAATGCACACTACTCCCTCTGTCCGGATTTCTGCATAAACACTTCCTGCCATGATTTGAACTGCCTTCCTGGTTAAAACAAGGATTTGATTTGGATATTTCATTTGGATCACTACAGGTATCAAAAAAAAAAAAAAAAAAAAAAAATATGTATATACATACATATACAAAAGTATATATGCATATGTGAAGCCTCTGAAAAGAGCCTCTGAAAGAGGCCTCTGAAAAGAGGCAGCAGAATGGACATTTAATTTCAAAAAAAAAAAAAAAAAAAAAAAAAAAAAAAAAAAAAAAAAAGGGGGTTTATCAGAGGATGAAGAAGGGGCCTCGTTACTGCCAGCCAAGCCTCTGGAAGCAGCAGGACGGCACACGAAGGTGTCTCCTGCCCTCCTCAAGGAGATGCTGCTCACCTCTTCGGTGCGTGGTGGCCTTCCAGTGTTCACGCTCTTCGTACATCCCCCAGAGAAGCAAAGGAGCTTTCTTGGTCACAGGTGCTCCGGATTCTATGTTTTTGGGTCACCATCTCACTTTGAATTCTGGCAGAACACCACTGGTTCCTGCGCAAGAGCTACAGCAACGGCTGAAACCAATCTTCCCGTCAGTAAGAAGCAAGCGAGCCTTTCCTGTGCCCCTGGAAGCCAAGAAGAGCTGCCCGAATCCCGCCGCTCAGAACCGGGCACCGCGGAGCTCCCGGCCGGGCTCGGCATCACGGTGCCAGCGCCTCTCCCCGGGGCGGCCCACGGAGGAGCCCTCTCCCTGCGCACTGTGCAAGAGGAAACAGGCTGCTGGGTACTCGCCGCCAGCTGGCTGCGTTGGTGCATATCTATCTATCTATCTATCTATCTACACACACACATACACACAGTTGGTTAAGATCTCGCTGCGGCAGGTGTGTGGAGCTCCAGAACTGTTCCTATGAAAATCCTTGCGTAAAATCACCTAGCAGAATGTTCTCTGTTACAAATTACACTGGATATGTCAAACTGGGAAAGCACTGGGAAAAAGGGATGTGAAAATACAGGAGACAGTAACTTTCCTTACGCAGTTAAAGACACAAACTACACCCTTCATGTTTAGAAAGGACAAGAAATGACATTACCTAAAACTGGGAGCACTTCAAAATTTGACAAAACAGAGGACAGTCTTGACTTCAAAATCATTTAGCTGGAGTTCCTCRTCTGTTAAAGAGACCCCCTGTTCCAAGAGGATCCCCACCTTCTGGAATCTGCAGTATTGGAGCACGCTGCTTCCGAGCACCCAAAAGCCGCAGCTTTTTCCAGACTCTGCAAGCTGAAGTAATGGCTACCTCCAGTTGCCATTCCCAGACACGTACCAACCAGAGAGATCAACACAAATGTAAAAATAGTAACTAGGAGGAAAAAGCACAACCGAGAAAGGATTATGGTCCTTAGAAAGTAGCTCTGTGAATAACCATAGCAACACTTGATTTATTAACACTTTTCCAAGGGCATCAGAACAAGCTGAGCGGAATCCTTACAAACCGAAGAGACAAGGGAGGCATTTCCCAGTTACCACCCCGCCTGTCACAGCAGCAACACGCTGACACTTGTGACATAATCAGCATCTTATAAATGATTTCAGCACCCCTCACAAAGTAGCGTCAGAATGTTCACTGGCTCTTTGAAAGAGAAGAAAAAAGTACAAATTACACACGAGTAAAGTTATTTACTAATATACTGGTATCTAGACCACATGGTTCTCGGCATTGGTGATTTTCACCGCAGACGGCTATACTGCAGCTCTGCATCGGCCTGGTGGGGCTGCCACGCAGAAGGCCCCTAACTACCTCACTTTGCAGTGACCCTCCTGGCTTCACCGTGCATGGAGATAACGGCAGCTCCATCCAGCCCTGCTTGCTTACCTGAATACAATAGAAAACGTCGCTCAAATCTTACAAATCTCACTATGCATTTGCCTTTAATGCTCCAATATGGAGATTCTGTGGCGATCTTCTCAACGCCAACGTGATGTGAGTGAACAATGCCCATGTACTTAAGTATTTTCCAGCTCTTGCAGGGAAGCAGCCGCCTTCTTGTGCGCAGTTATCACGCTGAGCTGTAATCAAAAACAAGCAGATCCCTTTTTTATAGAAAAATCCTTGAATAAAAAGACCTGAATATTAGTAAATCTTCAACAGAGAAATATTACTGAAGAGATGGAGCAGGCCTTGACAAGTGAGAATTTAGGTTACACAACAGTTTCCTGGTGGTTATTGCTTTTAACTTGTCTAAGGTCCCAAAGAATCACAAATGATAAAAAAACAGACTACCAGGAGTACAGTTAAAAGACATCTACATGCACACAAATGCACGTATTTTAAAATTGCAAAACTGATAATTCACTTACAATGGTGAGGCTTCACTGAAGTACTGTTATCTTAGCATAAGCTCACATTCACAGTCATGAACAAGCACTGGTAATTCAAACATTTTTTTTCATACCCAAACACTGCACGAGAYGACTTTTCTCAAGCCCTCACACGTCCTGCCCCTAATCCTGCAGAAGAGCCCCCAGCATCTGTTGTGTGTCGCTTTGGCAGCAGCTGTGGCTGCTGCTGGAGCTTTGCACGCAGTCCTAACGCACAGAGCTGCCACCTGAGCATCCAGGTTGGCATTTTCTGCTAGTTTCTAGTTTTGCTGCCAAGCTTAGTACAAGTGAAGAGGTCAACTACCCTTGCGAGACTGCGGYTGTAACTGGTGCAGCTCCTCTGCATGTGCCACAAGGATGACCAGCAGCTCTCAAATCGCTTCCATGGGAGAAGGAACAACTGAATGTCCATTCCCTCAGCTAGGGCATGGAAAGGGGAAAAGCCACTGCCCTGGTGCCAGCCCCATCGCTCCGGCAGAACTGTGCGAGGGGAGCAAGCAGCACCGGTCCCTCTCTGGCAGGGTGCTGCTCTTCAGCTGTAAGTCATCAGGCACGCAGGCACGAGGGAAGGTCAACGGGCTCTATGACAGCGATGGTGAAGTCCTTCTATTCTGTATTGCATTTAAAATTACAATGAAACTGGATAATATAACAATTCAGTAAAGCAGCCCTGCACCTACAGATTAAGAAACCGGTGACGTGTTACCACCCTGCACACAAGGAGCCCTGTATCCACATGGGTCTTCCCTCAGCGAAGAGAGTGGGAAGACTTGCCCTGTCCGCATTGGGATGGGCAGGCCCCGCTGCAGCCCTTTCCCCAGCACGGGCAGCGGGACCTGGGGAAAGGGCGAGTGGAGACAGGGCAGCAGGAAACGCCCCACGTCGCTGCAGAGGCCACGTCAGCCACGCCAGGCAGTTCCCACACCCGGACAGCCACATGGCTCCTACAGCCCCATCAGATCTGCTGCGACCCTCCCAAGGAGACCCATGAGGAGCAGGTAACTACTGATGCTTTCAGGAACAGCAAGCACTCTTCTCCTATGGGCAGCGACACCGTGAATTTATGCCCTTGAAAGCTGACGTGACCACCCTGCTTTGGGCAGGGTAATGTCTCAGAAACACGAGAAGTAACAGATCCCCACAACCAACAAACTTGCCTCTCTGCCCAGCAGAGAATTGCGCTGCCCAGCAGCTCCTGCCCCCAGCTGAGCGCCCGTCAGGGTCCCCGTGCGCTGGGACGGGCGGGCGCCCGCGCAGCCTCTGCTCCCCGCAGGGCGCCGCGGCGCACGGCAGCCGAGGCCAACCGCAGCAAGCTCAAAAAGGCCCTCCTATGGGTAAGCAGGAGCTGGAAGCCCGTGAGCGTTACAGCTCTGAACTTCATTTGACACATTTGAAAAAGAGCTTCCCCCTCTCTCTGCTAACTTGCTATCATTTTGGAATACGTACAAGATTATAAACCTTCATTTTGAACCATGCAAGTTTAATTCACATCCAGTTTGTTTCCCTAAACAGATCTATGTCATTCAAGCATCCTGTTGGAAGAAGATTTAGTATTTAATTGAATTTGCATCACTTTGGGGATGACACATTCGAAACACAAGCTTGCACAAGTTATGTTAGTAATTCTGCACATAAACGACCACTCTGCCTTGGGGAAGATATAAAGTCATCTTTTTTCCCCACAATGTTCAAAGGGRTTTTTGTTTCCTTGTGAAAATAACATGCTGTTTTGTACCTTTTGAGATGCTGTAGCTGCCCTCTGCTCTGCCTGGCTTAGTCGTCTTTGAAGCCTATTGATGTATTCTCGATATTCCATCATTAATTTTTCATCCTGTGTAAATGAAATACCTCATTACAAACGGGAAGTTCTCTTTCTCGGCTCCGTATGCACCGCAGTGAGAAGGCTGGCAGCAACAGGCACTTAGGAAGTGCAGCTGTTCACCTCCTAGAGGAAGAGGCTGACGACAGGCTAGTGACACATGAGAGAGAATTTCTGCATCAAATGCACAAACTGAAGTTGACGAGACCATACCACTTTTGCAGTTACAGTAATCTTCAGAGGAAGTTTTTACTTCACCGTCTTTAATTAAGATGCCTAAAAGCTGACATTTTAATTCAGGTAATTTAATTTACACAGTCTTACCATATAATTGTTTTAGTTATTCTCAAAGTAAAAAAGTATACAAAATAATACAAAAGATAATCTTTTGGTTCATATTTTCTCTTCTGTTCATCAAAGAATAGGTATAAAATCTTTCTTAATCGTCTTTTACTTGAATGGAAGTTTCCTCCTATCAGCCTCCTTTTGTCCTCTAAATAATACAGCACAACAACAACAAAAACAATGCATAAGGAGTTATCCTAAATAGAATTAGGTATTATTCCTGATTTATGAGGCAAACTGACAGGAGAACTATTCTCTAAAGTGACCATTAATTATTAAAAAAATGTGCATTCCAAGACAACCCTGCCTTTAATCTTTAATGGATGATGCTCTTATCTATATACATATACACACAAAAAGGAATCGTAAATTCTACGACCCATGTAGAATACGAAAAATTTTACTTCTCTGCGTGTRTTACATTATACGTATAGCAACGCCTCCTCCTCCCTTTCAGAAGTGTCCATACAAACCAATAAGTGTCCTCAGAAAGGATTTCTGAATTGCCTAAAGTTGCAGTATTAATAATTATGAAAGATCTCTCCTTTACGCTATAATTTCAGAATAAAGTTAACTCGTATTCCCGTTCCATTGGAACATGTCAGTCTGCAGGAACAGAGTGGGTTTTTCAAGCAACAACCGTTCCTTCAAAAATATTTAAGTTCTTATCAACTAGCAACGTAACTCACCTAAAAAAGTTTCTGGTAAGATCCTAATGTGGGGATGCCTCAGGGTGTAGCAGAAAGCTGTTGTCATGTTATTTGTTATCTTACCTCAATAGCCTTCTCATTTGCTATTTCCAGCTGAGAAAGGAGCTCTTGGGTGCGAAGTTTCTGTTGGCTCAGTTCACTTCTGTTGAACAGAAACAAAGCTGCTGGTGAGCACACAGTAGTGCATCAGCTACCCACGTATTATCTCATAGGGACCTCCCCAAAGCAGTGCAGGTCCTTATGGTGCATTTACTTAYAAGATTGCTCTTGATATAATCGTTTCAAAAGCACTGCTGCTTTCACCTCTTAAAAATACGTGTTCAAAATGAGTGGCACAGAAATGAGATGTGCRTGTTAAAATCAAAAATAAACTGGACTTTGCCAAGAATATTCGATATTTTACAAGTATATTTTCTGCTGTTCATTATCTTATTTTATAAGCATGTTATTAAGTGCTGTTAAGTTATAAACACAAACTGTATTTGCAGTGCATTCAATTTTTAGATTAGTCATCTCATTAATGGCCTAGAGCCAGAGTTCAGTGTGGACATTTCTGAAGACACTTTGAAAAAAATCACTCTAAATCACTCTAATCACTCTAAAATCACTCTAAACTTTGTAACACAATCAACAACACAACACTTCAAGATAAAAAAGAAAACATATCAGCTTCTTCAAAAGCACTTTTTTCACTTTTGGATTTCTTTCTAGTGATGCTAACCTAATTTGTGCAGTACTGAAGACACCAAATATCTGGGTTAAGATGGACATCTTTGAGCTGGTCCACAAAGGAACCAGTTCTGGCCTTCTGCTAACAGTGAGCCACCAAAGAAGACGGGTGAAGAAGATGGAGAAGAAAATCTCTGAACTTTGGTCATTTTGGACAGAGGAAGCTGCAAAACCAAACAGGCAGCTACAAGATTGTTGTCTATCAGCCTGTCTCCCGACCGGATATCGTTAAGGACAGCTCACCATCTTTTGAGTAGCTGCCATAAAAATGACATGCATAAAGCAGGTAGTTACACCATGTTAAACAATTAAAACTAATATTCATATTCCACATTAATACTTGTTTTAAATGGAGTAAGTGTTAGAGATGGATTAAAACGGCAAGATGGAGACACTATGTTAATACTTAACACTATTTTTGCAGTTTGTCCTCTAGAATCAATCTCAAGCATCAAGATAAAGCACTTCCAGTTTGGGAATCCCAACAAACAAACAGATTTTGAATGCAGTCTTCAAGTTCTGGCTTATGAACAGTTTTATTAGCAAATTGACTTGAACATTCTTCTTCACCATGAAATTTCATGCAGTTCATTTTATATGTGTAAGATAAGAACACACCTTCTCAAACTCCCTAGTAAACTATTCAAGTTACTGCTTACAACATGCAGACTGCTTATGTTTCACTACGCTAATAAAATACAACTTTGACTAATTTCTGACAAATGACCTTTATTGCAATGATATCTTAAGTAATGTCATCTGTCCAAGTAGAGTCATTTTCTAAATTCCAAATCCTTAACAAGTCAYGGGAAACGATGCATCTCCCCTGCTCAGCTAAGGCACAGAATGAGCGTCCTCAGCAGCAGCATGGACCATAAGCAGTTTACATTCTCTTGTGCAGCTGTTTATCAACAAACTGCTTTGAAATGTCACRCTGAGCCCGTGTCCAAAGGACAGAGCTGAACCCTGCAAGCCGAGGGAAACACTGCAGCTCCTGGTCTGGAAGGCTGATCTGCTTGACTGGTAGCCCTCCCCCCAACACTCATTATGAGGCTCTAATAAGAGGTAGCCCAAACTTGCAAGTAATCCAACCAGTCTCTGCTCCATGTTGTCTCTGTTAAATGAGCAGGAAACAAAAGGGGAGCGTTCAGGATTTTGGCAGTCGGGTGATAAATCTGCCAGCTGTAGCGAGTACTTTCTGCTAAACTCTCAGATGACAAATACAGTGAGTGCCAGATGTTTTTGCAGTTGAATTATACCAGACCATGCTTCAGTTGCTCGCAGTAATTATGGATTTGCTATACTGCTGGTACCTGCAGCTCTCTCTCATCCTGCTAATATTTTTGCTTTAATGAGCATTTTAAAATAAGCAGCCATGGCTGCCAAACATTACAGAAGCGCAGCCAAGAATAATAATGGTTCAGAGCTGGAGGAAATGTGTTCAGCTTAAGATGCTGGGYAATTCACTCCATGTACTGTACAGCGTGCAGGGAGAAGGCAGACCTGGCCAACGCTGCACACACAGGCACAGAAAAGGTCATTCTTCAGAGGCAGATTCTTTTCAATTAGAGCAAAGTCAAACCTCAAGATTCCTATAAAGGCACAGAGCTACAAATGACTCAGGGACTCCAACTATGACACATAAATGCTTCAGAAGCAGAAAGTGCAACAAAGACATTGGGAATTGCTGCAATCAAATGAGAACAATGTTTAGAATTAAACACACTATGCACAGTATTAAAAAATAGTTTAAAAAAATATGGCAAGAATTTCACTTTATCAATAGAAGCAATTATAATTCAAGTGTTTTTTTTTTTAATCAAGCCATTCAGTAGCACTTATTTGATCAAATGTAATAGGCTGTGTTACAGTAAATGTATTTGATTTTTTTCCAAAAAGTTATATTTCAGTATTAGACAATAGTAACAGATGGTTAGGAATATGAATTTACTAACATATCCAGATAGTTATTAGTATTTATCCTACTATTGTTTTTCATGTGAATCCAGATTTTCAAGTTAGGCTACCTCAAATGCATTCTTTCATTAATTTCCAAAGTACTTACCTTCTTTAAGCCAATGTCTACAAAATCCTTATTGAGTGCCATTTGTTTTGCAGATTCAGTTTATATTTTTAGAGCAGAGCAAACTTGTGCATACCTGTTGCTGCCCCTGCACACAGGCTCTTGATAAGGCCTTTACTGAGCAGTCATGCACACTTCTAAGCAAGCAAGGTAATAGTCACAGCAAAGTTGACAGGCTTAACAAGGCCTTTCCGTGGGTGCCCCTGTTWGCTAATTCAGTACCAAACTTTTCTTTTGAATCCTGCTGTGATCCCTGATCCAACCAGAATCCTGTTGGACCTGGTCTCGGGCTCGTTCGCAGACGAGGATTCTGGCAAGGGATCCTGTGCAGCCACTGACTATCTGCCAGACTCTGCTTCCTCCGATTCCTTCCCTCGCTCTCAGGAGCAGAACATAGAGATCTAAAAAAAATACTAATATGCTACTTAGAAGAGATTAACCACCTATCAGCACTTGTATTACAACCTTGTTTTATTCACTTGTTTAGTCTAGTTAGCCTATATATGACCAGTCAGGGTCCATTATTGGGTTTTACATAATAAATTAACCACTGGTCCTTATTTTTAAGTTTGCACACAGAGTCTTCCATTCACATTTCCTTTTAGTAAATGCTGGTAGATTTGATTATCCTGTTTTTGTTTAAATTCTGTTGTCATAACTTTTGCCATCTCTCTCGCTCTTTCTCCTCTGGTTTTCATTCTTTGCTGAGCTTTGTTTACTTCCAGTTCCCATATTTCCTGGCTATTTCTTTCGTACAGGTGACTGTGCTTTTTATCACTGCTATCATATGTTTTTCTCTCCTTAAGTCTGAAGAATTACAGACTTTTATATGCAATGCTATATGGTAACAGTGATCGTTCTAGCCAACATTCACCCCGAAAAACATGGTCCTAACATTTGCTTCTCTAAATTCTGCTACTTCTAGAAAATTAAGAACGCTTAAAAACACGTGTGTGTAGCCCTCAATCCTRTCGCACGGAGCTTCTAATAAATGAAGGCAAGAAATGCAAGAAGTGAATCATTTGATACCATTATTTTACCCTAGATGTCAAAGGTATTTCTCATGAAATACCACACATGCTTGTGGAAAAGTGATACTGAAGATCAAACTATTCTTTTTAACCATTAAACCAAACTCCAATTTAGTTATTTAAATTTTACCTGACAGGACTTAAAAGCTCTTTAGAAGTCTCTGTAAGTTGAGATAGATAAAAAAGTTGTACATACATAAACATTTTCAGACAAAAAAAAAGCCTCAACCTTCAACCTTGGAACAACTCATCTTGAAACAAATGAGAAATACATTAATTTCCCTAACTGTTCTATAACTGTTAATATTTGCTACATTGTTCATAAGCTCACTATGTCTAATTTCACTTCATGTGAGTGTCATTAGAATTTAAAGAAATTCTAAAATTCGCTCCATAAAAAGTCAAAAGAAATTTTTTACAGCCTGCAAAACCATTTAGCCATTGGCAGGAATAGAGAGCACAAACGCTGGCCAGGAGCTTAGTCACGCTGCCAAGAGCAATGTCTTGATTTGGAAGCATGACCTATGTTGCAAGAATCACTGCCCTTAACTGCCTTCCAGGTTGGCTTTGGGCACAAGTGTASAGAAGGCAGCCCAGTTCTCTGCCCTTGCCCAAGGCCACAGGGAGCTCTGTTATCAATAAAGACTTTCAAAAACGTGCAGCCTCTTAGGATGCTGCCCCGGGAAGAAAATTCTTGTCATGAAGGAAGTCTGCGTTATGCTGTCATGAAGAGAAGGATGGAATTCAGTCCACAAGCATTCAGAGCACTGCCCCTGTTTCACCAAGCTTATTTTTGGCTTTTTAATTCCAAGTTCAGCTGTACAGGCAAAGATTATTACACAACTTGAAATCAGAGACACAAACCAAAGTGTCCAAGAAGGCACATATTAATTTTAAGTGAAAACTTTGAACATACTTTTAGGTTCATTTTTTTCCCTGAACTAAGAAATGACCRTGTGATTTTAGAATAATAATTRTCAATTTGTTCTTCTGTTACAGGCTACAAAAGTTACTTACTGAATTTTGAAACTAAAAATCAGCTAATGTTCACTGATGTTGCTTCACTTCTTGCAATATGTAATGGATGTTTCCTTTATGTRTATGCATTACAGCTCACTAACAAAACGCTGCAGACTGAAAAGATGACAAATGAACCCTACAGAATATGGAAAGCGAGCAGCTGCTGGTGGGAGGTGAGCAAAAGAGCTGCAATGTTTCAAACACTTTCACATGGAAAATGGAAGTAATGGGGAGAGACCAGAAAAAAGCAGGAACAGGTCATGAATTTTASGCAGAGGAATGGGAAACACCTAGACTAACAAACGGAGCAGTGACTCAGTGCTTATGAGAAGGGCACTAAGGGCCAACTGCTGGTGAAATTCAATATAAAATGCTTTGATTATGTAAACCACCTCCCTGCTATATACGAGTAAGACCCCCAAAAGCAGTTTATAACTCCATGAAAAATATACACTTACAAAGGACATTACTGTGCTGCAAGAGTAATAATTATTAAAAACTGAAATSCTGCTTTATGTCACCAACTGAAAAAAATGCATTGCATTTATCAAATAGTAAATTCATTAAGTCCCACAGAACATCTCAGTCTAATCAAAATTTTCTAAAAAATCATGATACACTGGTATATGTCAAGTGTTTGTATCTAAACCAAATGAACAGGCAGGTATCTTCATCGAGGCTCACAGTGTTGCTGCCCTGTCAGGCCAAGATTAAGGAAAACATTAGCTTTTCCTTACAGATGTCTCACTCACTAGTCCTCTGAGGAACATGTGAAACGTCTGTACACAGGAAAAGTATTCCCTGTACAGCCATTTAGCCAAATGACTGCAACTAGCCATTTACCTGGACCTAACTATTATGCTAACTAATATCAAGAGGATTTTCCAATGAAGCTGGTAATTCTGTAGATGGTGCTTACCCAGCATCACTCTACTATCTAGTGGTCTTGCTCATATCTCTGTGATAAACCTAGGAATTCAGTGGCCACAAAATTATTTTGCTTTTTAAATATAAGTTATCAACACTATTATGCTTCACAGCAAAACAAGAAGTGAACTGGCATCTGTATTTGTACTTGAAGTATTTACTCAAAATATTACTGCTTAAAATATTATATTACTGCTTAAAATATTATATTTTAAAGGAAATATATGGTAATTACTCATTCTTAATGTCAGCAAGGACTTGGCAGTGAGTAACTACTATTGAGTAGCTACTGGAGCTAATCTTTATACCAGCCTTATGCTAGAAAATGCAGAATGCATTCTGAATTCACAAAGGTGTCTGACAAACTTCTATTCTTAGTTTCTATACAATGTGTATAAATATCATCTGCAAAAGCATCTTAAAAAGTAACTGACGTGGCTTTCATACTTGCACCAAAATATCAACCAGAGAGAGTGAGAATCACGTGGACTTGGTGTAGACTTCCCACTTCTCACATGAACATCTTCTATTCATCAGGCAGTATTTTCTGATGAAAAAGCTACTGCGCTACTAAATGGGAAGCTAAATCACTGGTGGGCTTTTCAGCTGACGCTACATAGGCAGTCTCTCACACAAATAAGGACACTGACAAAATTTGCTACCCATTTTTCATGCAGATTCACAAAACAAACTGCCTTTGTGTCTGTTAGATTTTCCATGTCAGCACTTTGTTGCAGATAAAAAACATCTAAAGCTTCTGGCCCACTATAACAACATTTTAACACTCACCATAAAAGTCTTAAGAAGGAAAGCAGCTGTTACACAGAAAATTTCCATTGCGTTGGAAGTCTGCAGTTTTTCTCTCTTAATCAGAAGTTGCTSAACTACATTCAGCATCTCAGTTACAAACCTAGATGCTCAACTGCAGTAATTTTTTTTTTTCCTAAAAATAAACCAACTTTAGCTTTCTGGCAGAAGTTTACCAGCTTAAATTTACCTAAGCATGTAACACAACTAAGTGCTTTTCTTCTTTAGTTAGGAAAAGATGTTAAAAAAGCATCAGTAAGACTCAACTAATTACATACAGTGAAACTACACTACTAAACCAGGAAGAGAATAAGCACAGTTAGCAATGTCTCAAGCAAAGACCAGGTGCCTTTGCCTCCATAGAGAGAAAGTCTGTTACTCGGCCTCCTACGTGTGCCAAGCAGCAGCACCCAGCTGGCCAAAACAACAGCTTATACTGGGCTGTTACCTGGTACTGTGGCTGTTACCCGTCAGTGAAACATAAGACATGCAACAGGTAGGGGAAACAGTACCTGAACAAGAAAGACACTGCAAATTTACTGTACACAGGTAATTTTTTATAGTTTAATGCTGATTATAGCTTATTATAGGTTTTTTTTTTTTTTTAATAGTTTCTAATGCTGAAACATGGCCCTGAGAAACTATACCAAGATGAAAGTAGGATGTCACATATGTGCGTTGTGTTAATCAGTGTGGATTAGTAATATACTGGAAACTCCACTGTAAACCTTATTCCTCCAAACCTGTTGATGCCTGTTTGTCGCAGGCACTACAGCTGCTTGCATTCCCCAGTATCTAGGAATTATAGGTAACCTGGGTGAGATGCCCTTCTTGTTATACCCTCTCAAAACAGAAACTATTCTTACGTATTATGCTGAGAATACGTGTGTCTGTCAGCTACCTGCCAACATGTACAAATTAACAACGAAGTAAAGCTTCTATCTTTGCTTARGGCAATCAGGCAGCTCATTTGTATCCTCTTTTATGTCACCGAGTATTCAGAAGAGATGAACCTCCCAAAAGCAACTTTTTCTCAATCTGGAGATTTATTTCACAATTGATTTTACAGAAACTGTTCTGAATGGCCATAAGTACAAAAACTTTCATAATTAAAGACTAAAATTTCCTAAAACTGAACATGCTCTGTTTTAGAAAAGGAATTTAAGAGTATTTCATTTACTTTTTGTAATTACAAGGTGTCACAACAAGTGCCGCAWCATTTCCTTCTGGAACGACCTCAGTTTCAGCTGGAGTCACATCCTCTGGCCAGGATGGTTTGCTCTCCACTGCTTTTCACCACAGCTGTACTGTTGTACCAAATGGTAGCCAAAAGCATAACACCTTCCAGAAGGAAAAAAAAGGTTGCACTTACTTTAGCTTATTGATCCTGACTTCTGTAGTATCAGTAAGATTTTTTGTTTCCTCTTTCCACCGATTTGTTGCTTTTTGCTGAGCTACTAAGAGACGTCTCAGCTCAGCGGTGGATTTCTGACTGCTGTCCTGCATTTCTTGAAGTCGAGCTTCATACCCATGTTCTTTCACAGAATGCTCGTGTTCCATGGTGCTTACCTGGAAAAAAATACAAACATGATACAGTCAAGTTGATTACTTTTTTTTTAAACACTCGAGTGAGATGTAAAACAATTTGCTGTAAGCACGCAACATACAATAATTAAACCTGTAACGATRTGCTCAAACAGACACAAGTTCCCAAAGCCAATTTAAGCAAATAGAACAACTGACAATAAAGGATAATGAGCTGGGTGACCTTACTTTGGTAAATAATCTTTATCCTTCTCCCTTGTGTTTCCTCCACAGAAACACATCCTTTCTTTTTCATCTGGTAAAAATGTGTTAAGATTTTCTTAACTGCATCTAAAATCCTGTCTGATAGAATGGACAATGACCTGGTACATACGTTATAACCTCTAAAATATCCTTTATGAGACTCYCAGCCTTTGTTTTACACTGTTTGCTCAAAGGGTTGTGGAGCTGGAACAAGACTTCCTATTGACATTTAACTATTTTTCCCTTGGTTGACAGCTTTGGTACTTTGTGGTAAAGAAGATAGTAACTGGATTTGAGATGGTTCCCATTGGGAGTGGCTAGTAAGACCACGTCCGAGGTCTTCCTCATTGTGGTAGGTTCTTACATCTCCTTACATTCCTAGAGCTAAGAGCAGGGGGAAAGCACCAGCAAATACCTTGGCTTTATATATTAAGAAATCATGTCAAGCATCAAAACTGTCATTCCCTTCCAAAGTCAAAGGTACCTTGATCTGTTGAGTTTAGCTGTTAATGCATTCAGTCTGTTCAGGAGCATTTAATGGAACATCTTAAAAAAAAGAAAATCCTTTCTGAGCTAAGTATCTTGCTTGCACCTATCGATCCAAAAGCCTGTACAGTTTGAACAGAATTGATCCTACTGTTCAGGTCCAGACCCCATGTTTGGTAGCTACACTGTTGAAATATTTATCAGCGAAGCACTGCTGTGATAACATGGTGGACACAAAAGTAAAGGAACAAAAGCAGCATGAAGCCTCTGGACTGAAAGGCCGACAGAGATTTGTAATTTGGGTCGTCTTCTTAAGTAGCACTTAATGCACACTAAAGTACGATTTAATTAACAGCGGATGAGCTACCAAATAGATCCTCAGAACATACAGTGTTATAACAAAGCAAAGATACAAAGCAGCCAACAAGAAGCGTGACTTAAGCTTACTTTCATTTTTTCACAGGAATGCTTACTAAGCAAAAAATACTTTTATGCTAAAATAAAATTAGAACCTAAACAATACCATTATTTTAGCTTTTTGTTGAGCTTCCACGGCCAGTTTTCTTAAGCCCTCCATTTCTTTTTGCAGTTGTTCATTCTCTTGTTGAAGTTTTAGCCTTTGTTCRCTGACAAAGCCACTCTTCTCTCTTTCGGAATCCAGAATGCTTTGCAATTTACAGATCATTTCCTGGAGATGAGATTTCTCTTCTTCAGAGCTGAAAAGAGAAGAAAAGTCTTGTCTGAAGATTTATTCAACATTTGACTCCATTCTGTGTTTTTCTAGGGTTATTTTGCTGCAATTGTGATGGTCTGAAGAAGAGGAAGCCAAAATTTGTAGGTAGCAACAAAATCTTAACAGAGTAATTTCAACAGTCCTAGAGAAAATATACTAGGACAAAGAGATCTTTGGAATGACCCAGTACCGCTGTTCTCTTGTTTCTTCCTGAATTTCTAGTTTATTATTATTAYGAAACATTTATACACTCAGATATTACAATGGGCTTTACAGCTGGGAGTATGTACAAGTCAGCAAAGACCTTTAGCGAGGGCATTTATAAAACAATCTAATATTGAAGCAAACCCAGTGAAATGCCAACATGAAGCAGCARATTTTAATTTTTATAGAATTTCCACATTCCCAACTGGGTATTGCTCTAGGGAAGAGGCAGAATTTATGATTCTAACTGAAAGTTCTAGACACTCTTACACATCTCATGCTAAAAACAATCTAGTCTAACAATGTGTAGCRTATTATATTTTTACTGTTATATTATTTGAATTGCAGTAATGTCTATGAGGCCTGAAGACAGACTTGAACTTCACTATGGTACATGACATACCATGTTGTGTGAGGACTAGGACATASCACACCGTAAATGAATTTATAAAGTAATAATTTCTCTGAATATATTATAGAGAGTAACTTTCCCTGGTAGATAAGAGTATTTAAAAATGCAGTAAGATTTCAAAAAATAAAATTTGTTTTTCATTCCTTGGTAAAACAAGTAAAATCTTAGATTCTACCATGTGTTATTCTCTTTTAACATTTTTAAAATGATTTGTAACTGCCCTTGCTTAAGAAGTGCAGAAATAGGGTAACTTACTACTATTCCTGCTRCTGGTTAAAAATACCTAGTGGAAACTTAACACAATCAGCAAGAGACTTTAGATCAGGCAGAAATAGCTTCATTAAATAAGGACTTGGAGACATCCATTACTTACTTCATTTCCAGTTGCTTCAATTTGTTCTGTGCTGTCTGTAGGCTGAGCTGCAGGTCACCTTTTGTACATTCTGCAAGTAGGTATTTTTGATGCAGTTGCTCCAGTTTTCTACTGTCAGATTCATGTCCTCTGTCTTCCCGATAAATCTGAAGAATAAGCTTAGATGTGAGATGGTCCCTACCTTACACCGGCGAGTGACACTGCAGCGCTGATAATAAGGCTACTCCTCATTGTGTCCTATTTTCCAGTGATCTAAAACAAAATTATATTTCTGTCGATGCTCCATCCTGCTGCTACCGGGTAAGAAGTTTTCAGAGTTCAAAGATTCAGTTAGTTTTTTTGTGCATTGAGCTTAAGTTGATTYGGGACATTCACCTACATTCTTCGGCATCACATCATGCATCTCTTTTTACCTTTTACACT